GGGAGGTTATTGTTTGGAGGGAGAGTCCAAACCATAATCGTGCAATAGCGATAGTGCGGTTGGGGGCAGGGGGGGGAGATGGCTGCAATCACAGTCGCACTTGTGCAGGGAAGACGGGTGCGATTGCGGTCACGCTTGTGCAGGGAAGATGGCCACAATCATGATCGTGTTTGTGTGGCAACATGGCCACGATTGTGATCATCATCCAATGCAAAGTTCGTGAACTGAGGTAAATTTTTTCTGAAATTTCTGTTCACAACCCAATTTGGTCGTGAACTGAGGCATTTGTGAGCCGAGGTACCTCTGTACTTTGGTTTATTCTGTTTTACATGTTTTATTCTTTGTAATTGTGATATTGTATCTCATGATTTTAAGCTTTGTCTTGTAAACTGCCTGGAGAGCCTCATTTAATGAGCAGTATAGAAATGGAAAGAATGAATTTTATTGTTCTTAGCATGACTAATGGAAGTTCAGGGGATTCTGGAAAAGAAAAAGGAAAGCAGTAGAATTTGAACTGATTAGAAAATCTGTTGATGTATAGAATATTGATTTGTTTTCTGTATACTCATAGAGCATGGAAAGATAGGAAGATAGTCAGAAGATAGTCAGTTTTGGGGGTTGTAATACATAGGCTGTATTTGCTTAAACATTCCCTTGGCAATTTTGTCTATTTTGTTCACTTTAGTTTGTTCTGTTTATATTATTTTTTCTATTCTACATTTTTTCTATGTATTTGTATCTGTTAAGAAAATTAAAATTAAAAATGGAAAGAATGAATAAATACATAAATGCAATTGGATATGTACCACTAGGAAGCAGGGTTGGTGCTTAAGACTCCCTTGCTTTTCCTGGCACAATTCAAACACTGTTTGATAATGCTTCAATTAGCACCTCAAAATTGCCTCAGGAGGAAAGGAGAAAACCCTGAAAGTATGATTGAATGCTGGGATCTCTGTCCCTACCTAGAATAGATGCCTAGAAAGCTCCTTTGAAAGTTAAGGTATCATAAAAGATTCAGTCTACTCAACTATTACTGCTTCCTACCCATGATCTTGTGAAGCTGCCTAACAGACCTTTGTTCCATTGATCCACCTGGGTTGTCCACGCCTGTCAAGCCCATTTAGCCAAGTTCCTTTTAAAATGGGGCAGAATGTGGGGTCCCTCACCTCCAAATGGTGTGTTCACCTGCAGCTTGGGCAACAGCTGCTCCCCAGAGCACCAGTTTTAAAAGTGAGCAAGAATAACCCTCTTTGCCCAGACCACACATCCAAGGAGGCAATGTTTACCCGAAGGAGGAAAGAACCTGCCATTTCAGTAGAAACAAAATCACCTTTACCAGAATACTGAAACAAAGAGGTGAGTGGGTTTTAATTCTGTGGGTACATTAATTAAAACACTGATTTATTGACTTCTGATTCAGTGGAACATTTTATTGCCTTAGCGCAATGAAAACACCAATTATAGCTAGAATGAATAGCAATTCAAATAGTACAATCTGTCCACAAATAATCTGGTCCTACATGCTAAAGGGACACAATTTTTACAATTTTTAATGTAAATTGTTAAAAAAGTACTTAACAATAGTTAATGAGGTCAAATCTGAAAATACATATTTTCTTATCTTTAAAATATAAAGGTGAAAGTTGGTCCCTAGATTTTTGCTGTTTAAAATGTATAAATTTGGAAGAAACTATCCAGTAAAGTGAGAAAGGATACAAGTATATTTTGGGATCAACTCCTCCCCTGATAGGATTAGGGCTCCTGATTTCCAGAGCTCAGGTATCTAGCACCCACGTAGACAACAACAGAAGAAATAATGGGAGAAGACAATGTTACTCATACATCAACTTTTTCACCGCAGGGCAGATCATATGAACATTGCTGCAGTCCACTGCTCTGGAAAGTCCAGTATCTGATATCTGTTACTATAGCGTTCAAATCTCTGTATACAAAAGATGGCTTGGTAGTACAAACCTGTAACAGGGAGGGATGCTCCTATGGTCTCACTGGATACCCTCTGGGATAGGAAAAGCAACCTTGGGGAAGCAGGGCTAGGGGCTATCCTGAGGTGTCTCCAGCCACCTTCTCCCCCACTCCAGGGTGCCCCAGTTAGATGGGCAAAGCAGCAGAACATTGAGTGGGAGGGCAGGAAGGAGAAGGTTGCCTCTGCTGCCCCCTGCTTTAGGTTGGATGCCCGGAAGCCTCTGGGTTCAGGGGCTTGCAGGCATTCTGACAGGATTGCTTCCTGAAGTGAACACGGTCTCCCCATTGCTCTGGTGGAGCACTGCTCCGGGTTTATTGGCTTCCTCAATATGCCTGTGTAATGGTGTCACATTTATTATCTCTGTCTCCCAGCACCCGTCAGTTTAGTTTCAGCAGCTGCTAACCATTCCTGTCTTAAGTGCGGATGCTAAGCACATCTCCAGATGATCCATTTTCGCAATGCTTATTTTGCACACATGCCAGGCACCAGTGACAGGAAAGAGAGGCCGAGGCAAAGAGGCTGTGGGAAAAGACAGTGCCAGCTTTGAAAAAAATGACTTTGAAAATCAAACCTCTAGTGGGACTATCCATGCAAACAGTTGAGAAACATGATCCATTGATTAGACCAAATGTGGTTCCTTATTTCATTCCTGCTTAAGACCCTGTGTATTAAATGGCTTTTTTTTCTATTTACCTTTTTTCCCCCCAGACAGCCCCTGACAACCCTTTCAAAGTGCCCAAGCAGCATCTTGGATGGGGTATCAGTGGCTGACCAAGTTGCCCCAGTGCCTAAGGAAGGACTGAGGGGGAAGGAGGGGAAAAACAACCCACAGCAAGCCTGATTATCTGTTGGGCACGCCATGGGTTCTTTGCAGAACAGTGTTGACTATGTGTTTTATCACTGGGGTTCCTTGCATCTTGGCAGAGTCTGGTTCCTCCACTCCCCAACTCCCAGCATGTCACACTCCCAACTCCAAAGTCATACTTGGACCTTCAGAGTCCCAGCTGGACATGAATGGCCATGTTAATTGGGATGGCACTCCGAATTTAGGTCTAGCTCCAACCTTGGAGCACACCTCCTATGGCCTAGGCAACCTGCTTCTCCTAGGTAGTGTCCAAGGGTCACAGGAGCACACCTAAAAAGACCTTAAAATTGTTGCAGATCACAAGCTGAATATGAGTCAGCAGAGTGATGTGGCTACAAAAAAGGCAAATGGCCTGCACTAATAAGTATCACTTCCAAATCACATGAAGTACTCGTTCTCTTCCCAGCACTGGATAGGCCTCATTTGTAGTACAGTGTCCAGTTCTGGACAGCACAATTTAAGAAAGATGCAGACAAGCTGGAAAGGGTTCAGAGGAGGGACTGGAAACAAAGCCCTATCAGGACAGGTTGACAGAACTGAGCATGTTTAGCCTTGAGAAGAGAAGACTAAGGGGAGATAGGACAGCACTCTACAGGTACTTGAAAGGCTGCCACAAAGAGGAAGCACAGAATCTCTTCTTGATCATCCCAGAGTGCAGGACACAGACTAATGACCTTAAGCTGCAGGAAGCCAGATTCCGGCTGGATATCAGGAAAAATGTCCTGACTGTTAGAACAGTATGACAGTGGAACCAGCTGCCTAGAGAGGTGGTGGGCTCTCCCACACTAGAGGCATTTGAGGGGAAACTGGAACACCATCTGAGTGGAACGGTGTAAACTGGTGGCCTGCAACAGCAGGGGGTTGGACCCGATGGCCTTCTGGCCCCTTCCAACTCTACTACTCTATGATTAGAGCCACTTTGTTTCTTCTGAGTTTGTCATCTCCAGAGTAAAACCATTTGTGTTTGTCTGACTGAAAATTACCCTTTCCATGTAGTTCATTCTCACCAAGTGTTTAACTGTTCCATTTCTTGCTTGATGGGTTCCAGTTTGCCTCAATTCATACTTCTCATTTTCTGTATCCCAACTGTATGTGTTGTGCAGCAGTGAGCTCTTCCATGCATGTCAGTTGCTAGACTTTCTTTCCAGTTCAGCGCTATTCGTACTTGCCCTTTGCCTTTCCCCAGTGCCTTGTTTAGTGCCTACCCATCTGGAGGGTTTCATCTTCAAGCACTATCACTTGTGTCATGTTGGATTGTTTCATCCCAGGGTTTTCAAGGCTGGAAGACTCAGAAGTGGTGTACCATTGCCTTCTTCTGAGCAGCACCCCCACTGTCTGTGCAGGATCCCCCACCTGGGTTGCCTTCAGCTACCAGTGCTGCCCAGTCACTCCCCCCCCCCCGCCCTGCCATTAGAGATCTCGTCTGCTGAAGTGACTGTTCTCCCTGAAGAGGATGGATACCTCTCATCTTGACAGGAGATGAGCTCAGTGTGACAGTCTGGCCTACTGGCAGCATTGCTCTCAGCTTCTCTAACACTCTCAGATCCCTTCACCACATTAAGTTGGGCAACCAGGGGTGGGGAGGAGCACTGTTTAATCCACAATGGTTTTTGGTGTCACATAAGCAACCCCAAATTTGCCTGACTTGAATGTTCAAAATGGCTGCCAAACCCACAAATTCCCACAATTACATCTGAAAAGCTGCACAAGATGTGGTCCGTACTTCCTCTCGAGGCCTTGTACTGGCCAATGAGATCCAAAATCCCCTGCTTTTGGTAAGAGGATTGGGCACCTGCTAGGTCCCCTCAGCTGCATCCGCGTCCACCCATCACCCTATATCCGTCATTCTTCCCCAGTAACAAGTGGCTAAACACGTCGCAAGCGCTGCTCTCATGCTCTAGGTCCGCCAGTCAATGAAAAGGGGCAGGGAGACTCAGGATGGCACGACAGGGGCCGGCCTCGACACCACGCTGAACGCCCCGGATCGATGAAGCGAGCTGGGCGTGTGAAAGGGGTGCTCGAGCGTTCCGCCGCTAGGTGTCAGCAGCGAGCAAGTCTCCTGGGCTGTAGCTGCTCTGCTCGTGTGACGCGGCGGCGGCCGCTGCTGAGCGGAGGCGGAACGGGCGGGGCTGGGCTCGGGCGGCGCTAGTGGGTCCGCCTTTGCTTTGACTCCTTTCCCCGCACGGGAGGCAGTTTCGCGCTGGCTTTTCTTGCGCAAATGTACAGATCTCGCCTCCTCGGCTCGGCCGTCCGGGCAAGGTCCATGGCGACCGCACGTGAAGGTCTGGGGAGCGAGAAGAAAGTCGTGCATTGTTTCTACGATGTAGTGTCTCCCTATTCCTGGCTTGGATTTGAGGTAAGAGGCCCGGAAGAGGCCACGAGAGACAAGTTTGAGCCGCAGCTGCGTACTCCGAGGGAGTCCCAAATGGGAAAAGCTGTGGTGCAGCCCCAGGAGCGACCCACCCAGCTCACTTACGCTGTAGTGCAGCTGGAGAGTCGCAGCTGGGCGCCCCCCCCCCCCCCCTATTAAGTTGTGAAGAACACAAGTAACAGTCCTCGCTACCTCTTCCAGCTGCGGTTCCGGGATTTACAAGCGCCTCTGCGATCCCTGCCTTATTAGGAGAATAAAACCAAGGCTTCTGCATTGCGTGGTTATTTGGGGAGCCCTGGGGCTGTATTGTATGAGAAGGCAGTACTTCTTAAAGCTACCTCAGATATGAGTGGAGCTTGCCAGAACTTTATTTTGCAAGATCCACTAGGTTACCCAGAAATGAGGAATTTCGGGATCCCAATGCACTAGTGCTGGGTCTTGGACTGGAAGGATTTACAGCCACCTGAAGGAAGATTCAGATTGCAAATTTATTATCTGTAAGATTAAATACCAGCCTTTATGCCCCACAAATATCCATGCATGGAATGGAAGAAGAGATGTTCATATTACCCGTCTGTGCTTCCAGAATGTTATAATGTCAGAGATTATAAGAGAACACTTGTTAGCATAGCCACCTGCCAGTGGGATTTGCAGAACCCAGTTATGCTGTGGTGTGATCCAGTTACTGCAATAAAATGGGTAGGACTTGCAAACAGATAACCAAATTCAAATTCGGAACATGGCAGTTTTGAGACCTTTCAGAAACACCCTTCCTGTCCAGAGTATTCATGCTGGAGCTGCCATTAAATCGTGCTGCAGAATTTAATTTGAAATTCAAATTCAACTTACTGAAGTTGTTTGATAATGTTTATGGACTTGTATGTTTTTGTTTGTCTAATTGCTGGAAGCCATCCAGAGAGCTATTTGGCTATTCTTGGTCTACAAAAGCTTGAAATAAATAACATTATTATGAAAGTTCTGAAAGATGTGGGAGAAGAATACATATCAAGCTGGACTGTAATGATTTGATAGGATACTTGGAGTGCACAGAGGACCGCAATTCCAGAGAGAGTGGCAGCAACTCAGGCAGCTCCCATAAATCCTCAGATGCGCTTCAGTTCTTCAGCACCCTTGGCCTGAACTTTGCCCCATTTACTGTTGCCGCAGTGGAAAATACCACGCTCTTTCTGCCAGCATTAGTCCCTTACAGGCACAGCTTGTGAGTGTGCAAGGAACTGAGCCTAACATAGTGCTAAACTGCATGGAAACATTTGGTCAAGCTCTTTCCCATTCCATTGATATCAGTTGATGGTTAAGATTGTGCCAGAACTTCTTCCATGGAAAGCAGCAGGGCTACAAAGCCTCATTTATTTATTTGTTTGTTTGTTTGTTTATGTAGGCTGGATTATTCCTAAAGGTTGAGCAATGTTCCCTTTCTTCCCCAAAGACTGGCCCCTTCTGTTAATATATTGAGAACAAACTGGCAGATTAGGGAGGTCTGGAACTTTGCACCAAGGTGTTGGTCTGACAGGAGAAGGCACCTCCCTCTTAGTTGACCAAAGCGAACTTGGTACCAGCCACTTCCCAGATAAATTCCTGAGGCAGGATGCTTGGGTGAAAAGATCAGCACTTTATTGACCATGTAATTAAGCATGTACTGCAAGCTAAACTTGAGAGCAAAGTGTGGCCCCCTGCTAGCTAATCAAGGGTGCTGATTTGACTTCAGTGGCCTCCTAGGGTCAGTCCCTTTCCTCACTCTCCCATCCTGAAGGAGCAGAGGGGTCTTAATCGCTCCATCTTCCTCCTGCCCCGTCTAGCAGGTCATGAGGCCTAGCTGGGGTGCATCACTCTCCAGTGCCTCTGAGTGCTTGCCAGGGTAAAGATCCCAAGCTACTTGTATACCACAAGAGGAATCCAGCCTAATTGTGACTTACATTGTTCCATTTTCTGAATCTTCACTCACACAGACCTTGTTGCAGTTCCTTCAGAGGCCCACTTGCAAGAAGTGCACCCCCTCATCCCTGCAGAGTCCTATAACTGGCCCCACCCCAACAATTTCTTCACATTTCTGTTGCTCTGCCACCGAGCACAGCTGATCTTTGGGTGCATTTGCTTGCTTCAAGCCCTCCCCTCCAACACCTGGATCAAAGACTCAGGAGCCAGGGCCACCCCAAAGCTGAAAAACATTCAGAGCATGCTGGACAGAGGCCCAGCTGTGAGGCAGGGAAATCTCCTACTACCACATACCCCTTCTTGCATTCCACTTGACTCAGCCTTATCACTGGTCTAAAACTGCACCCCAGTCCTTGAACTGACGCCCACCATGTGCTGTGACCCAAAGACAATGGAATGGGTAGAAACTGGGCGTCCCACTGGGCTTCTGCACCAGCCTAGACCTCTGCTTGGTTAGCAGCCTAGGCACATGGCAATGAAGTGACCAGTGTTTTGGGAGCTGGGTTCCCTCCTCCTCCCTTTCAGTCAACAGAGAGTTCTTTGGCAACTGGTAGTTCTTTCCAGTGTGCAGCCAGCAAACAGAAGCCTCTCAGCATGCACAGATTGGTTTGTTGAACCCAATCTAGAAACTATTTCTCAGAACCCTCTTTTTCAGTAACCCTGGGCTCTACCCCCACGGAGAATCCTTGCAGGAGAATGGCTGACCTCCTCGATCTATGCAAGCCCTCTAGTTGGGTAGTCCCCCTCTCCTGACACTGCACCATGGGGCTCAGGGATCAGACCAAGCTCCTCTTGCTCCTCTCCCAAGTCCCCTTTCGGCACTTCCAAACCCTCTTGGTTCCTCAGGGGCTGCCTGAACATCAGGAGACGGTGGCCTTGAGGTGTGCTTCCTCTTCCACCATCTCTGTGTCCACAGGCCTCATTTCCCAGGCCTCACCATCCTCATCTGAAGAGTTGGTGCCACCCTGGCCCTGGAAAGCACACCAAGAGTAGCAGCCTCTTTCATTCCCAACACAATGTTACGAACACAATCATATTGTGCACAGTTCTAGCTGCTGCACCTGAAAAAAGTTTATTATTGGACTGGAAAAAGTACAGAGAAGGGCGATGATAAAGGGGTTGGAGCAACTCCTGTATGGGGAATAGCTACAGCAATTGCGATTGTTTAGCTTAAAAACGGTGAGTAGCAGGAGATATGATAGAGGTTTTTAAAATAAGGTATGGTCTGGGAAAGTGAAAGGGGAGTCAATTTTCTCCTCTTCCCATAATAATAAAACCCATGGTAATCTCAATAAGCTGATTGGCAGGGCGTTTAGGACAGATAAAAGGAAGTACTTAACACAGTGTAAAGTTAAACTGGAATTCTCTGCCACAGGAATTGGATGGCCTTAAAAGAGGACTGGACAAATCCCTGGAGGAGTAGCAAGGGCTACTCGCTGCCTCGTTGGCAGTGTGCTGTCTCCATTACCAGAGGTGGCCTGCCTGCATGCACCAGCCTCTGAGGAGCTTGGACAGATGGAGGTCTTGCACCCATCCTGCTTGAGGGATCCTGTGGGCAGCTGGTTTCCCACTCCAGTCCCCTCTGGAGTGCTGGACCGAATGGCTCATTGGTCTGATCCCACCTTATGTCTCCTTGTTCTTATGTCACACCATGACCATCCTTTAGTGGGTAAAATTCTTGAATAATTGGCAGCTTCCATCTCCTAACCTGTTTAATGGTACCTGCAGCCGAGTTTGTCTGGACAGCTATGCAGAAAAAGCTACTCTAGGAAGGCTTTTGCAAAATTGCCCTATTTTCCATGGAACTTTAGCCCTGCGTTAGGGTTAGGGGTGTGCACCAGGGTAGGGTTAGGGTTGGGAAAACGAGGTGTCCTGGTAAGATTTTATCGGCTGGAATGTGCTTAGAAGGGGCAGAAACGATGAGCCACGCAGAAAAAGCTACTCTGGGAAGGCTTTTGCAAAATTGCCCTATTTTCCATGGAACTTTAGCCCTGCATTAGGGTTAGGGGTTTGCACCCGTTTCGAAGGATGAGTATCAAAATCCTTGGGATTCAGTCCACATGACAGAATCCTTGCCCAAGCTGGAATGCAGTCTGAATGGATCCAAATTTCCCGGTGAAGCAGTCCACCTGGAAGAGGCCTGCACAAACCACAGCGACGAGGCAAAGCTCTCATCAGCAAAGCAAGGAAATGGCACTTTCCTTGAAATGAATGCTGAAAGCTCAGCCTTGCTGGTCTGTCTTAGAGACACGCAGGGTGGCCTTAAGGCTTTTGTTTATGATGCTCCTCATCTTCAGCACATGGCTAGAAGTGCCCAACAGATTTTCCCAGCAGCTTGCTAATATGCTGAGCCCAAAGAAAGCCAACAGGCCTGCAGCTGAGAACAAAGAAAAGCCAAAATCGCAAATATGGTGCAGAGACCATTGTGGGGACAGGGCAGGAGCAGGTGGGGAAAACCTGGCCTATCCTTCAAGCATCTTCCTAACCCGGATGTATCAATAAGCAACTCAACCTCAGTCTGAAAGGCAAAAGGAGAGCAGAAATGATTATAGAAAACAAAATCCACCGGTGGGCTAGGCCTGCGTTTAACTTGAACGCTTGGAACGCCTTAGGTGAGGTGTTCCTTGGTGTCCCTGACATCTTAGGGGACCTCTGGTTGGCACTGGGTTTGCTTGGCCTTTGTCCTGGCTGGCAGTTCTGATGTGCTCTGTCTGGAATGAGGTGGGAGGTCAGCAAGGACTTCACTCAGTAATCGGCTGCCCGGGGGCCTGACCAAGATCTTTTCATGCAGGCATTTCCATCTGCCAAGATAGTCAATAACTGGGGTGAGAGGGAGGGGAAACAAGTCAAGTTTTCCCTTGACTTGCTTCTGATGCTCCTGCTTTTTGTAACTTCTTGATGAAGAGGGTTGGAGATCACTTTTTACAGTGATCATTTGGTTGATCTGGATTTTGGAATGTTTCTTATGGGCAGCATGTTTACCTTGGTTTTTACTTTTTTATGTTTTGCAAAAGCGGTTTTCTATTTCCTAGGGGCTAGGTCCAGATCATTCTCAACATGATTTTGAGGTTGCTGATAATGAATTTGTCTCACTGCTTTAGATTATCTGCCGATACCGCCCCATCTGGAACATGGACCTGCGTTTTCGGCCTGTTTTCCTTGCAGGCATAATGAAGGAGACGGGTAGGTGTGGAATAGCAGAACTGAGTCAAACCATTTTTTAAATTTTATTTTTTTATTTATTTGATTTATATCCCACTTTTTTCTTATGAACTCCAAGTGCCTTACATCATTCTGCTCCTGCTCTCACTGTTATCCCACAACAACAACCCTGTGAGGTAGTTTGGACTAAGAGACTGCGACTGGCCCAAAGTCATCCAGTGGGCTCCCTAGCCGAGCAGGGGCTAGACTCCAGGTTGCCCAAGTCCCAGTCCTGCGCTCTTAGCACTGAAGCACACTGGTTCTCAGGCACATTCTTGGAAAATGTGTCCAGCAGTTGCTCTGTACCAAAGCATATTGCTTCTGAGTGATGCTGAATTGCTTATTGCAAAGTTCAGTGCAGATCCCAGGATATGAACAGAGCATTCTGTGCATGTTGCTCCATACCTGACTAGAGCCAGTCTCATCCCAGGAAAAGAGTCCTACTATCTTCCAAGTCATCAATGCCTGGAAATCCAACTTCTTCTCTGAACAAGTCAGTTTTCATTGTTATTTTAAAAAATGCTTATGCACCATTATTATGTTCTTTGATTGCCCCATGAAAAAACATTTGTGATCATTAAAATACAACAGGGTGATAATCAGAGCAAACTGCCCTAGTTTGGTGCCTGCAACCAAACAAATTTTATTGCTCTTAGCTCTGTGAATGGGACTGAGAATGATCAGCTGCCCTGTCTTGATGGAGATATAAGAGATGGTGGGATGCAGTGTCTCCCTCTGTCTGAAAAGTCCTCCTGCAACACCCCACCTTTTGCAACAGGTAACCGGGCCCCGGCATTGTTGCGTGAGAAAGCAGTCTACATGACGCAGGACCTCCAGCGTTTGGGAAAGTTCTGCCAGGTGCCATTGCGACCACCAAAGGATTTCATGGGGACTGTTATTGAGAAGGGTAAGAAAAGGAGGCTGCTTTAACAAAGGAACTGCTGACTCCTTTATTTAAATAGGGGGGGGTGTTCTTTTGCTTTCCTAACTCATTTTAACAGTTGGAGATACATTGATTAGGAAAAAAGGTACAGGAGGGGAGGGCCAAAAACAACTCCGCTTGCAGACTTAATATGATTCTATCCCACCCACACCAGAAAGACTGTAGAACAGGGCAGGGACCACTTCAGGCTGAATCGCCTCCTGAAAGAGCACTGTGGTCTTAGTGGCATCCTCGAGCATCCCCATGTCCACTGTCACTGGGACCCGCATGCATTGTGCCTGCCTCTGTGCTCAGAGAGGTCTAGAATGCTGCGCCTTTCTCGGCATGGAGGAAGAGACTTAAGCAGCACTGGGAGAAGCTGTACCTTCCAGCACAGCACCAGCTGCTGCTATATTATTATTATTATTATTATTATTATTATTATTATTATTATTATTATTTACATTTCTATACTGCCCATACCTGAAGCTCTCTGAGCAGTTGACAACATTAAGTCACCCATCCAGATTTCAACCAGGCCTGACCCTGCTTAGCTTCCAAATTAGGCAGGATCAGGCACCTCAGGCTATATGGAAGCTAGTAAGGTGCCTCCTTCATGTACCCTTTGCCATCCCCAGGGGGTGCAGAGGGGCATGTCAAGGAAGATGCAGCATTACAAGTGAACCCCGAGCTCACTTCCACTCTTGATGTGGTGTGGTGGACTGTGCAGGCTCCTTCTGGTTGGAGGTGCTTTCTTCCATAGGAGCGTGTGCTGTTGTCTTTCCCTCTGTGAACACCTAGACTGCAAGTTCCTGCTGGGGAGGGATCTTGTAACGTGTCATCATGCCAATGGGTGACACTGCAGTGCCAATGATTATTTGATGGAAAGCCCCTTGGAACAGCCCACCAAAGCTAGTGCTTAGATCGAATTCCTCTTGCATGATAGCAGCTGAGCATCTTAGGGGTTTTGCAGCAATGGGTTCTCTTTCTGTTGACACTCACGCAATCTGTCTGCCTGGCATTTTGTGTGTATCTGTTTTTACCAAATGCAGGTAGTCTGCCTGCCATGCGTTTTCTCACAGCTGTGGATATACTACAGCCAGAGTTTGTGGAGCCCGTGTCTAAAGAATTTTGGATGCGCATTTGGTCCAGAGTGAGTATTCCAGAATTCAGGGCTTGTGCATCTCTCAAGATGTTTCTGTGCTCCTCATAATTTTTTCTTCAGGTTACTTATGCAAGAAAGCTGGGCCAGACTTGCATGATTTGTGGCCCTCTAAGCCAATTGTAACACTGTTGGATTCCCTGTCAGGAACTCCTTAAAACCCTCGCTTAGACTGTCCCCCAAGAACAGCAGAAAAAGGAGGGCAGCTGGCAGAGCACAACGCACAAGAGGTAGGTTGTATCCAGCCTTGTGGGTCACAAGCTGTACAAGTCTGAACTGGCTGGAACAACAAAATGAGATATCGATGCCAGTAGAATGCCTAAGACCTTTCCATGGAAATTCAGAATTCCTGGCCTTACTCCACATATTCCCTTCTCCCCTGCATTCCTGCACAGCTGTGCAGTCCTTCTGATAATAAATGCAGAAGACTTGGCCCTGACCTTCATTTCAGTAAATGAAGTGGCATCCTTGTCTCTCGCTGCTTTGGTTTGGACTATCAGTAGAACCAGATACTTATGTTGACACTTTCATTCTTTGCACAATCAATCTCATGGTCTTGGCGAATTGGAACCAGATGCCTTACTTGTCTCTCTAGGATGAAGACATCACCCAGCCAGAAAGTATCTTGGCGGTAAGTTTCTTCTCCACATCCTCTTCTCTTGCTGATCTTTTCAGTGCGCTTGCTCTCTGCCCACGCAGACTGGTTTGTGTAGGTCTGTGGCATGGCACTGAAGTACGAAACTGGACTGCATGGGCTTTGGATGCTTTCTCAGTCTGCTTCATGACTGTTAATCATGTGGTAACATTGCTGTCTGGAAGGAGTGGCTTTGTTGTTCTGTTCAGCGAAGAAGGAAAGGAAAAATACTGAAGAGGGCTTGTGTGATTTCATTTTATTTCTAAACCATGGATTCTTTGGGAGAGCTAGAACTATTTCCTGGACATTTGCTTGTTTTTTGGATTAACATTGTGAAAAAGCAACGTGACTAATATCACCTTAGATCACTTTATAACTTTCTTTATGAGAATTCTCTGTGCCCAGGCTTTTGGAATAACCTGCCTAACTGAAACATTGGTACGATCTGCTATGCCCTTCGCCAAATTATTGTGGAGCCTTTGAGTGGTCTGTCTATAGGGGAGGGTCTGTCTTGTAGGAGCTGAGTGTGTGCTTTACATGCAGAAGGTTCCCAGTTGTTTCTGCAGTCTGCAGAACACAGGCTGCGAGAAATACCTTGGTCTAACACCCTGCAGAGGAGGAGAAACTACTGGTGGGCCAGTAGGTGATTCCATATGAAGCACCTTTATATGTAAAGATCAAATGCACTGCACATAACTTAATGTTGATATCTGTAAACCACAGGTAGCTCATTCATCTCTTTCAATTTCACGCTTACAATATTTTTCATTCCCTTGCTTTGGTGATGAGAAGTGCCTGCTGTGAAACTGGGAGAAGACTGGGTAACTTAATACTGGCATTCCAGAAGCAAGTTGTTTGGTAGCTGCCCGCCTGTTGCACCTGCTTTACAGTTCCATTTAGCCATGCCAGTATTGTGGTACTCTTGCCAACCAAGCAATCTATTTGCTGTAGTCCCCTTTAAAATATCATAGGTGTCTTAGTGCTGGAGGCCTGCTCTGACTGACCCTGATTGTATCCGCCTTCTATGTTTCTTTCTTCTTAGGTTGCAGGGAAGGCAGGGTTACCCTCAGACAAAGCCCAGAAGCTTCTGGAAATGAGCACCTCACCTGAGGTGAAGAATCATCTGAAAGAAACAACCAGTGAAGTACTGAGATACGGGGTGAGCTGCTGACATCGTATCAGTCCAACGCTTTCATCCCTTTTTCTAGAGAGGCAGTGTAGGGAGAAGCATGTTTGGCAGGGCCAGCCCAGTCCTTTCACTCTGGGAGGGCCCTCTGGCTTATTCCTCTGATTATTCCACTTGGCTGCCACAGCTCTGTCTGAAATGCTGTGGCAATGCCAGGCCTATTCAGTGAAGCGTGTAGATCAGCTAAGGAAACGTGTGAATGAACTGTGCATCCCATTGCAGAGCTAGTTTCTCCACAGCATACAAAGCTAAGTCACAGTGTCTCCCCACACACACACACAAGCACTCTATTGCTCACTGATTGGCTGCATATGTGAACCATCACACTGAAAGGGACTGTGTTTGAACTGCTATGGAAGATGCCGTTTCTCTGTGGTGTTTGTTGTGTCAGCACCACACCTGATTCACTCAATTGCATGGTGGGTCCAAGGATTTTCCCTTTGCCAACCTCTTGGGCTTTCCCGCCACGTCTTCCATCTTCTTTTTCTTCGCTACGGAAAATTTGTTCAAGGAGAGAAGAATTCAATAACTATACTGTGCATTTTGACGGGTACTCTGGGGCCCCTCTGCCTCCCTGCCATGGCACATTTGCACCTGACAGCCATTACAGCCACAGCCCACAAGTAACCAGGCATGTTAACTGACCCACATCCTGAAGCAGGGGGAATGCTTGCCCAGCAGCCTCGCCCGCGATTCCCTGCCTTGCTCCCCTTCCCCTGAATAAGCTTTTTGATGAAAAGAATCAGGCTAAAATGCCACGGCTCCATCTGCGATGCAGGCCCCTGGCAAGCAAGCTTGGCTAGCGAGCATTCTAGCCAGGCCAGCAGCTGCCAGGCCCACTAGCGGCATTCCTCCAGGGGACTGTGCCGCAGGCACTAGTTGCCAAACGCCGCCATTGTGCCTGTCAGCTTCTTCCTCTCAGTCCAGAGGAACGGTGGGGTTTTCCAACCACGCTTGAGGGTGCTGGCAGGTGTTGTAACATATCGGAGGTGGCATGGAAGCACAATGGAATCCTTAGTTTTCAGGGATGACACATAAAAATTGTGCTTTTATTAAAAAGGAAATCAAATTATGCCTTATCGGAGAAACTAGTGTAGGCTGTACAGTCAGCAACCAAGCACGGAAGCCAGTGCAGCTGCAAACTCTGCAGGCTCATCAATGCCACACCAAACTGGGTAGATGAAGCTCAATCTCCTCTTTGTGTCTCCCCTTCCAGGCATTCGGGGTGCCATGTTTTGTTGTCCATGTCGACAGCAAGCCCCAGCTTCTCTTTGGTTCAGATCGTTTAGAACTGCTGGGGAGTCTTTTGGGTAAGTGTCGGTAAAGCCACTCTGGGTGAGAATGGGGCCTCCTGGAAGGTGAACAGGATTTTGAAATCTGAGATGGTCGCAAGAATGAAAGTGGCATTTATCTAGTAATCCATGTAGGATGGGCTGTACACATATTTATAGTTATTCATTTGTAGATGCTACTGTAAGTTCAATCAAACTGCTGCTTGTGCAGTTTCCTCCTGTTGCCTGAATCTGATTTGCGCCCTGGGCGGACTTGTTTCACAGGAGAGAAATGGCTGGGGCCAGTTCCTACATCTTCTAAGCTCTAGAAGTTAGAGGATATCTGAGCAACAAGATGGAGTGTTTGCCTTGTCGACTTCCAATTGGTCAGCACAGCTGTTCCGACCCACAGATGGATGGCTCTTCAGTCTGGAAAACGGAGATGTAAACCAACACCACACCAACACAGTTCCTGGTGCTGCAGAAAGGAACACAGAGCTCGCCCCCATGTGCAGTGCAAGTCATGCACACTCTTCCATGCCTAATGTGCACCTGATGCATCCTGAAATTTCTTTCCTGCCATGGTCCTTCCTTGCCTCTTCCGCCATACTTTCCTCCTCTCCCACCTGAGCTTTCCTTTCCCATGCCTCCAGACTCACCTCCTGCCCCAGCCACTCTGATTTCCTCCTCTTGCAACCCTTTCCTGTGGGCTCCACGGTGGTGAGAAGAGAAGGTCATCAGCATCCCCAGTCTCTGCACTGGATCAGTAGCATCGAGTGCTCCATGTGAACGCCATTTGGATTTTGATCTTCTGAAATCCAAGTGTGTCAAAAATCTGCCTTAGAGCAGGTCTCCAGTATCTGTTGCAGGCAAACCCAACATTTTTGAACCTCTGGGCACATCTGGGAAACTGAAATCGCTGTAAGCATCGCCACTAAATTGTCCCCATGGAGAAAGTGGCTGGGGAGGGGAGAGAGACAGCGAGGCTTCAGGCTGGGAAGGAGCGGGAGATGTCAGGAATTGCTCCCTGGTCTCCACAAGCATCTGGCTGCAGAGGCCGCCTGCGCACTGCCTGCCCCTGCTAGGTCTCTTCCTAACCCTAGGAAACATCACTGCTGTTTCTCCCACTCCCAGCCTCTGACTTTGCTGTGCTGGCCACCTCCTAGCTCTTTCCTTCCCCTGTCCCTCCTTGGCCTTCCTTTCTCTTTCTGCAGCAGGTTCAGAAACAGGACATGTTCCTATTTTTGTTTTGGACGAAGGTGGGCCTGCAGAGCCACCAGAGGTGCTGCGCGGGGGCCATGCGCCGCTCTGCCAAGCAGCAACTCTGCAGAGTCTCTGGCAGAGCTGCTTTTGCTGGCCCCTTTCGCGAACGCTGCCAGGAGTCGGACTGTGTAGAAAGCCTGCACGCTGCCGCAGTGCAGCAGCTGGCGCCGTTTTCCTTTTGTGCTTGCTTTTGTCCACTTGCATGTCTCGCGTATTTTAGTACCCATCAAAGCCTTGAGTAACTTCATACAACAATTCTGGATAATACAGATGAGGTGAACAAGCAGTTTGGAAAGGCACTTGAAATGAATTACAGACAGGCAGATCTCCCATGTTGCCTGTTGGATTACTCAAACAGCTTTATCTTCGCAGGTAGCTTCCCTCCCTCTCTCTAATGCCAGTGGGTCATCTGGTGAGTCCGCCCTCACTTGTGAAAAGCACGTTTCACTTCACCTGCACTTTTGTCAGTGACGTGTGTGAACTAAGCCAGAGAACTCTCTAATGTTCACATTAAGGCCCCCTGTACATCTCGTTTGGGGGCAGGGAAGAGGCATGAACCATGACTGCGTCCAGGCTAGGGTGACCCTGCCCCGGATCCAGTTCTCATGGGCATTACAATCGGTTCCCTAATTTATCACAAGTTGCTGCGACTGATTTCCCCTGAGCTTGGAAGCACATTATGATTAAATGAATCACCACAGTGCCCTTCCTCGTGTGTGGACCAGTTCAGTTCACAGGGGTTGAAGTTCTCCCACTTTGTACTAAGAGCTGCCCCGACATAACGTGACTGAGGTCCCAGGATTGCACCCCCAAAGTCCCTAGTGAGAATACATGACCAATTCTAGTGCAGTTCAGTGTGTATTGGACACGGTGGTCCTTTATTGCAAGCCCAAGACACCACAGACACGACAAGCATGGAGCGAGGGGTCACAGATTCACATTGACTGGTTCTTGATGGCACAGAGACTCAAGGAAACGGGTGGTGGCAAAGATGAAGGAGTGGCAAAGACCGGTGGAGTCCCATGAAGGATGACAGAACACAGATCCCTCCCGCTACCAAGTGCGTACACTCGGGCACAGGATGTGCTACCTGGGCTGCATCATGCACTGCTGCTTTGATGCTCACAGACCAGGTATAATCTTTGCAGTGAAAAGAGCTATTTTTTAATCCTACTGTTCCGAGGCCTGCACAGTGAAGGAGGAATACAGATGCAGCCTTCCTCCAAAGGCCCTTTGGGATACCCAAGTCCTTCCATGTTGGAACTTGCATACTTAAATTTTAGCAGTACTAAGAACAGAAAAAGCACCCCCCCCCCCCGCTTCTGAAGCTATGGCAGATGGGAGACTCCCCCTTTAGACTTGGGTTGGGTCTGCCCTGCTGAGGTCGCTGAACTGGAATGACACACATGGATGAGCAAATGCCACATTCGGACTTCGTGGTTGGGTTCCTTACTGCCTGTGGTGCAGCTGACACGGAATGAAGGAGGGCCAAGCCCAGTGGGAACGCAGCATCCTCTCTCCCAAGCCTCGGGGTGAATGAAGTGCTGTGACGTCTCACTTCAGCAGCAAATCCTACAGACAGGGAGGGAAAGGATGCTGAGAATAGGGGAATGGCGCAGATGCAAGCGCTGGAGCCCAAGATACATTTTGACCCTGTACTGCAGCTCGGTTTATGATACATGTAGTGACAGGAGGCAGCCCCATCCATGGATCCTGATGAAAGGGCAGTTCAGACCAGGCCTTAAGGTGACTGACACTGGACCAGGCACCACAGCACCCAGGAGGCCAAGAAGGCTCTTCTGTTACTGGCAGCCTGCATCTGCGATCCAGGCTTGTAATAGCCACACACTAGAGGCGAGACAACCATCTTCCTGATGGCAGGCAAGGAGTTGGCAAAAGCTAGGGCTTTGTTTCTTGCAAGCTGTAGGAAAGCAGCCCTTTAGGAATGCTGTGGGCTTATGGGCCAGGCTGGGAGATCCCTCCTGCCAGGATCTTCCTGCAAAGAGAGCGTGGGTGCTCAGGGACTCCCCCAGAACATTCCCTGGCCTGCAGCAGACTGCAAAAAGCAGGCAGGGCAATGTGGGTGCAGCTGGAAGCACAGCTTCCTCCCAGATCTGCTTGGAAGGGGCTTGCTGGCACTTTCTACATGCTTCAGAATTGTATCTACTCAAGTTCCATAGAGAGAACTGAGTGACACTGCATGACAAATTTGGCCACTTTTTTGCATTCTGAACAAAGCCATGCATGGGCCTCCTCAGGAGGGCCAGAAGGATCTGGGATGAATAGAGTGGGCTCAAGCAAAGCGTGATCCTTCCAGCCCCTCCCCTGGCCTTCCAAAAGCTGTGTGGTGCAAGCAGCTAGCTGAGGAAGTGGCCAAACAGCCAGGGCAGTGCCTGTCCATTCATCAACGCTTCCCTGATCTATGAACCTGGTGCAACATCCTAACATCAGGCGGAATCCCCTAAGTCGAAACCTTTTCCTCGATCGGTGCAGTGTTCAAGGGGAAACCGATGTCACACCTGGAGAATGAACGATAAAGCCAGTCGCAGGACCCAAGCAAGCTGCTGATCCCCATTCAAAAGCCTCTGCCATCCTTTTGAGAGGGTCCCGGCAGCACTGCTGTCCCCTGCAATCCTAACCCTTCACAATCCCGACATTAATTGGAAAATGTTGTAATTCACCAAAGATGCAGACCCAGAATGACATAGGCAGAATGATGGAGACAGACAGAAATGCACGAAGACGCAAAACTGGCCCGTAAGCGAGAAGATGGTTCAGCAAAATAATAAAGCCATAGCGACACAGGGAGATGGATGGGAGAAGGGCATTGTGGGAACAAGAGCAAACTGCAGAGTTAAGCCAAGAGACTCGCAGAGCCTGTTGGGTGTGGAGGACAGTTTGCAATAGGCCAGGGAACCCAGAGGTGGCTGCCTCGGGAAAGTGATCCAGATTATTATTATCCAGAGGGGCCAAGGAAAAAAAGGACGTGCAAAGTGCAGTGACGCTAAGAGCAGCACACAGCCAATCTATCTTCCTTCTGACCACCCGCCTCTGTTTTCTCCCGATGGGGCGCAGTGGCTAACAAAGGGAGGCCCCTCCCTTTCCATTGCATTTTGCCCACATGTCCTTATTCCCTTATCCTAGGGCACCGAGGCTTCCTAGGATGTGGATTACCTGTGAATTACCCAGCATGCACTGAGACACCCCTCCAGCGATGGCATCACACACAGCACAAAATGGAGGCCTGTGGAACAAGGAAGTGGCAGTTTCTTTAACATCCTTCCCTTTGCCCCTGGTCGTATGAAGAGCCCATGAATCACCTCCCTGCTTTGCTTATGCCACGGGAAAAAGAACAGCACATACTGGACTGTAACGCTGCGCATCCACTTTACTGCTTTTCCCCTTCTCCATGGATCCTGCAGAGCTGCTAGAAGGGAGCAGCTGAGTTACTGAAACGAGGATAAATGACAAAAGAGTTCAGTCAGGATTTTTCTAGGCACTGGCTTATCTTTTCCCCAGTCCCATTCAGCTGCCACCTACACAGGGTACAATAAATGCCAATGGTCCTGGCCTTGGTCCCTGCCCCGCATTGATTATGACCCCCACGTTTTACCATCTCCAAAGGTGCTATTTTTGTTTGCAGCTCATAATCCCTACAATTTAAATCTCAACAAGGGTGCGGAGGGGGCAACTCCCTTTTACCTAATACAGGTGCATTTACCTAATGCACCTGTATAGAAATGCATGTGCTCAAACACCACGTGATGCTTTTGTTTCAAATGCTTAAGCATGCTTATTAAGCACAATTTATTTATTTTTATTTTTTATCTGAAAGCTTTTCTATCCCGTCCCCTACTGAATGTCTCGGGACAGCTTACAATAAGTAAGTAGAATAAAACAAACCCCACAGCGTTTGACCATTAATATACTAAAACTCAAGGTAAAATCAATTATTGCAGACAATTAGACTTGTCTACAATACCTAAACCACCACCAACACACCTCTGCTTTTACACCAGTGTGAAGCAGCAAACTGAAGAATAAATGAGCATAACAGGCAGGAAATAGCTGGCCAGTAACGTGGGGTGCACAGGGAGACACACCCACACGGGGGGTGTCTACAGATGCACCATGGCTCCTGGTTACCTCTCTCTGCAAGCATCACAGGCCACAGGTGCGACAGACAGTGAGCAATATGAACCAGCAGCTTCCCAAAACCTCACAGATGGGGGGGAAAAGGGGGTAGCTGTGGGCTTAATACTGTGGCTGGAGTTCAAAAACGGCTCGATCACAGCTTGCCTGACATTGCGCTGCAGAAGTGCTCACGTTGCTAGACCCAGACTCCACACCCAGAGCTGAAGGGCCTGCTGTTGGGGAGGAGACCACACCGCCTGGCAGGGTGGGCTAGAGTGGGGAAGCAATGGGCTGGCAAGCTGCTGCTTCAGAGTCTAAAGCCCCTGAAGGGTAGGGGAGAGCTCTGCAAAGAAAGCCTCAGAAGAGGCCAATGGCAGGAAGACCCCGTCCTGTGATGAGATTCAACAGAGAGGGGCAGGGGCAGCTTCAGAGGACCTGAGAAGGAACAGGTCTTTTTTAAAGAAGACTTTGGAGGACACCATGGGCACTGGCTGATGGGAGCAGCCATCATTTTCTGCAAGAGGCACTCTCTCCCAAACTAGGAAGGAATAGCAACAGACCAGTGAGGGTCATCAAGTCACTACATGAGTCAGTGGTGAAGTTTATTTTTCCGTTTTGTTTTTTAAAAAAGGGAAACGGAGATATTACCAAGTCAGTCCACAACCCACCTGAGTGTTCTCCCACCTGTGCAATCTTTGAAGACAATTCACCCCCCTCCCCCCCCCCCAATTATGGACATAGCTGGGCCAAATGCTGCCAAGGGATCCAGGAGAATCAACAAAAAATGCGTCACCCTTGCCCCATCTATTTCCTGACACAGAGCCATCAACCAGAGCAGCCAAGGCAGCTTCAGTCCCCAGACTAGGCCAGAAATTAGTCTAAAATATATCCCAATGATCATCTTCCTCCAGAAATACAGTTGGCATCATGGCATTGCCTTCTCAAAGCTCTTGATGCAGGGTGATAGTTACTCAGATTGTTCTACCAAGAGATTTCCACAAACAGCGGCCCCCCTCAAGGAAGGGCTCCCTGCAGCATCGTTTAAGGCAGGAGGGGCTGCACCCTCTTCTCTCACTGGCTTCCTCTGGGATCCCACCATCCTGGCAGCTCAAAGCAGCCAGCACTGGGAAGAATCAATGCAGACAAGATCCGTCTGCCCATGTCCTCAGGTTGTAAAATGGTCCATGCCACTTTGTGCAGGTAGAACCATAGCTACAGCACTCTTCAGGCATCAAGTCCCGACAGTGTATGTTGACACAAGCTGCCCATGCCCCCTAAATCCCCATGTGCATCACCCCCCCACTCCCCAGACTTGCCCTGCTGAGCAGCAAGGTCTGCTTTATCAGTGTCCAGATCCCATGGAGGAATCTACTTGCTCTGGAGCAAGTGCAGTGTGAGCCCTCTTCAGACTCCAGTGGGGACTAAAGCTGGCCAGAGTGCCCAGTCCCACAGCCCATACTTCTGTGTACCTATCTGGTTTGGGCAGGGCTTGCATCTGCACCTAGTTGGCAGAAACTGCCGGGACCCACAGGGGCGCTTGTGTGCAAATCTAATCTTCAGTGCTCTTTGTGGACTGGGAAAAACTTTGCAGGCTAGGACATAAAAATCACTCTGAATAGTTCTGCTGGGTGGCACGGCAGAGGCAAATCTTTCCAGGCGAGAGAGAGGCCCTTTTTTCTCCCTCTCTTGCAACAGCAGAGCTCAAGGGCAGCCAACAAATTCAGAGAAGGAGGGAGACACGATGTGTGATCACACAGCACACGTGATCTGCAGATTATGCTGCCACAGGGTACACTGATGGTCATTGGCTTATGGCCAAACTGAACGGTATGTACATGCATATGGCCCAGACTATAGTCTGAAGGCACATAAGGCACCCATTGTACTGAAGCCAAACAGGTCTGGGGTGGGCCTCTGCATGAAGGGGAGACCACCTGGGAGCTGCATGTAGCCACCTTGAGTTCCACAATGGGAGAAAGGTGGGATATGATATAATTAATAAATATGCATTTCATATATCTCTCATTTTTAAAGTTTTTTTAAATTTAAATTTAATTTTTTTTAATCTTTAAATTTTTATTTATTTCCTTTAAACAGTAGCTGCAGATGATCCCAATGCAGATCAAGACCATGGTGTGGGGGAGGAGAGGACTTAACTGTCCTCTTGGGGAATCTGCCTACTGAAAATGCCACACAATTCTGCTATTTGTCCAGGAAGAAGGGAAGCTGTCACGGTGGCAGAAAGAGGCCAGTTATGATGCAGTGGGGGCGGGGGGAGAGGGCAAATCATCATAGGAAGCTCCTAGGGCAGTGATGGCGAACCTTTTAGAGACCGAGTGCCCAAACTGCAACCCAAAACCCACTTATTTATCGCAAAGTGCCAAAACTGCAAAAAAACCTGAAAACTGAGGTTTTAGCTTAGAAAAAACAACTCACAGCCAGTCCAAGAAAATCTATATATATCCATGGCAGCGCACTGACTGGCCATGCGAAAGCTTGGACAAGAGATGCCTAATGAGTCACGGCTCATGACGTCCTTGCCCAGCGCTGCTATTCTTTTCCAAGCATGCGCATGGCCCCTGTGTGTGCTGTTATCCGATGCTTGGCTGCTGGGGTGACTTGGCTCGTGTGCCGACAGAGAGGGCTCTGCGTACCCGCTATGGCACGTGTGCCATAGGTTCACCACCACTGTCCTAGCGGGTGGTGTTTATTTTGAAAAAAATATTTAAAGATTTGCAAATGTGAGCTGAGATTTAATATGGGATTAGACAAATTCACAGAGGATAACCCTATCAACGGGAATCTGGTAATGCCCAGCAGAGGCCAGCAATGAAATGTTACTCCATTCCATTTCCTGTCCCCCACTTCTCATTTTCTCCATGAAGTCCGTATTTCATGCCTACTGTGCCTATTCAATCTTCACTGGGCTGCTTTTTCTCCCCCCACCCCCACCATCTGCATATTGGAATTTATACGTTCTATTTTAGGGCAAGAAGTCACACTTGTTCCCAGTCCTTTCTGTATTCTCTGATTTCCCCAAGGATTTCTATGGGCAGCTCATACTTCTATCCTCTGAATCAGTTAAAAATATCCCAGAACTAGGAAATGAGCTATCCAAACAAGGAGCATATGGCCTTCTCTAGCTATCTGCTACGTTCCTCTGGAGTATCTTCTCTTCCATTCCCCTTTTCCAACCACTCTCTTCCCTGTCTTTTCTGAGACCAAGCATGCCACCATGCCCTTTCATCTAGGCACCCTCATTCTTAACCCAAGAACCCTTTATTATTGTGGTTACTCCTGGCTACCTGGAAAACTGTAGTCAATTTTCTCGCACAGGCCATAACAGATGGGATCTTCCCTTCCTTGAAGGCCACTGACATGGCAAGCCTTCCTTAGGATTCAGTCCAAACACTGCCAGTGCAGTGAGGGATGCTGGAGGCCAGTCATGGCTTGGTGGCCACAGCATTGATGCAAAGGTAACACAGGTGCCCCTGGTCAGCCTGCCCTAAAACCTGCAAGAACTCGTTCTGTCATTACCTGGAGAGCTGGTACTGCTGGGTGTGCAGACGCTATCCTCTAGCCAGGCATTCTGGACCAGGGTGTCCTGCTTCTGGGGACCCTCAAGAGAGCACATCAACTCCTGCACAAGAGAAATGGGAAAGGGGCTTCAGCGGGCACTTCAGGGGGCTGCCTTGCTCAGATGGGACTGGGAAGGACTTGCATAAAAGGGAGAGTAAAGACCCTGCACTGACCGCCTCGTTCTCCTCCTCCTCCGATGTTTCGTTCTCTCTCACTCCGCTGCAACAGCTGCTCACATTGGATGAGGAACGGGACAGGGGCTGCATCACACAATACCCCGATGTCTGACTGGAGAGGGCTCTGCTGAAGGAACACAAGCTCCAGATCAGCGGCCCCAGGCATCCAGGAAGCCCTTCCACAAGCCCTCGTGACAAAGCCTCGCCACTCAGCGCAGGAGTGTGAAGCGCTGCCCAGGCATGCTCAGGCCCTCTGGGCCATTAGGATCCAGACACCTTATTTCCTCCAGTAAGATAATGCAGCAGGAACAGGTTTTCCTTTCCTTTGCCGTGCGGGCATTTTCTTAAGCCTCCCTTGCTTGTTCTCAACTCACTTGCTCTTCCTGTTGGGGAACTCTGGGGAGCTGGGACTGGAGGAGCCATCCGACTTGAGGTCAAAGAAAGGCCCTGGACTCTCCAATACCTTCTGTATCTTTTCAGCAACGTCTTTGCTGGGGGAGAAAGAAGGTCAGTTTACTACACAGAACCATACATCCTTCCATGATATCCAACTACCAGATTCTCTTCCAAGAAGTATAGAGACAGCAGGAACTCCTTGGAACGCCCCCCGCCCCCCAACAAGGCAGATCAGTCACTCAGCAGCTGTCTGTTTTTCTTTGAAGCAAGCAGAACTTAAAAAAAAAACACCTTTAACCTGCATTGACACATCATACTTTGCAGTTCTTGGCCTGATCACTATAACTGGAATATAGACTCACTCAGTGGTTCCCAACCTTAGGTTCCTCAGATATGGATGGACTACATGGCCCATAACTTCTGACCACTGGCTATGCTGGCTGGTTGGTTGGGCAGCTAGACATTATAGTCAGCAATATCTACAGATGCAAAGCTGGGTTGCAGGGCTGCAAACTTAACAGGTTAAACCCAAAATGTAAAAGAAGCAGCACTTCATATACATATCAATCCTGGGACAAGCTATACTGCTTGGAAAAGAATCCTGATTGACCAAGACAAGGCTTATTAAATGTAGGGCACTTAAAACTCTTGGCTTTCTCAGTTTCTACTTTCTAATTCAACCGAAGAGGGACAAATGTACTTTTAATAGCCAGAAGCAAGATGCAGCCAGAAAAGTTGGCTGATATTCAAGGCTGCATGAAGGTCAAGTACTTGCTTTTCCTAAGTGCCATGACACACTGCACAGGTTTGATAACATTAAAAGCTTCCACTTTAAAAGACTCTAGATTTCATAGTTCTAAGGAGGAAAAACTAAATGCAAGCCTGGGAAAGCAGAGTAACTCCACCATTAGCAATGGAGCCTGGAACCAGTGGGTCAGTCTAGATGCGATGAAGGAGGCAGAAGGAGTGTTTCTGAATAGTGTTTGCTATTGCCTTAATCTGGGTCACTGATTGTCAATTTTTATTGTTACCAAAAATCAGCAACATGGAGTGGATGCTTAACTCTTTCTTTACAAACCGTTTTTTTTCCAACTGAACCAGTCCCATCCACTTGCTTTTCTCCTTTGAGAAGAGAAGCAGATGGAGGAACAAGTTTGACCAAGAAAAAGGAGATAAGCCATTCTCCCTGTCTACCCCATGGGTCTGATAAAATCTGGAGGCCACACTGGCTTGACTGTAGACATCACAGGATGAGTAAAAAGGCCTCCAGCATGACTGGTTCAAGCTGTCCTGTTTCTGAGGTCCAAGGCTTTGCAAATGCACTGCTTGGGCCCTCCCAGAAGAGGCAGTAACTGAAGTCTATAGCCAGGAGAGCAAAACTGAGGAGGGAAAAAGAACACACCAGGATGCAGTTCTGTGTAGACTAATCCATGAGTAAGCGCCACTGAATTCCATGGGACTCCTACATAGACGTGCATGGCTGCACTGAAAGTAGTCATCATGCCTGCTAAATTTTGTTCCCACCTAGTGCTTTAGCACAAGTAAGTTTAACAGCTATGTGCAACAGCTGAGTTCAGTCAATAGAAAACACACCCTGCCCCATGGTGCCCCTCCAAGTACCAACTCGGCCTTCAATCCCATATCCAGCCAGCTAGAACTAAGTTTCACTGAATTCTGTGGATTTATTTATGAGCAGACAGGATTGCACCATTAGTGGCAAAAGAGGACTATAAAAAGGAGTGCCACTGGTGACAATGGGATTTGCTAGCAAAGAGATGGGAAGACAGGCCTGGCAGAGCTGGGTCCTTGCTCCACCTCCCTTGTTTGAGAATGGCCCTTACCTTAAACTGATCAGAATGCTGAAAAGCTGAAACTGGGCACTATGTGACTACTCTAAAATAGGTTGGTTGCAGCTGCATCAATGTTAAAATGCACTTAACACTGCAAATTATAAATAGCAGTGCTAGCAAGAACTCAGCAGAATATTGTCCGCATTCCCATAATTTTAAATAAAAATAACTTTGTGGACTCTGTTCTAGTGGTGGGGAACTGAAGGCCAAAGTAAAGCAAGGAAAACATAGAAGGCCACCTTCTGCAACGTCTAACAGAGGATCTTCTCCTGCCTTGGGGGATCTTTGACTTACAACTGGGATTCAGAAAAAAGCCTTTTGGCAGCAAGTACGTAAGGTTAGTACACCTGTAAACTCAACCACACACAATGACAGCAGCATTACATTTTCCAAAGTACTTAACCGTAACTGTATTTTAATACAAACTACCGCTTGCATTTCATTAAGTGTGTGAGTTCTATGACAAAGAGGGAAATAGATGGAACTCCAGGAGAACAGTGGGATGCATGAGAGTCCCTGGACGGATGTTCCAGTCCTTGTCACAAGCCATTTTTGAAAGCCACAAGATGCTTCCAAAGTTCCCTGCCAGGTAGCAAGCTGTGCTGCTTTCAGAAAAGGGCAGGGAGCTGGTGGGGAAGAGAATCAGAAAATGGCTTTCTCTTAATTCATATATTAAATTACATTAAATTCTCGGAACCGCAGCCACAGTCTCTGGCCAAGCTCCAAAGATGCGGGCTCCATATGCTTGGCATACGGTGTCTTAGCCAGGGTAGTCTTTTCACAGCATGCACTGTGTTGCCAGAGTTTCCAAAATGTTCTCTCAATATGCCTCTTACTACATTTTTCATAAGAAAGCTTAAAAGCAGGCCTAGCTAATGTCCCGCCTCCTATTTTTAACGAAAGCTAAATATCAAAATATTGCTATTTTATTCAGCTTCTTGTTAGTTTCTTGATTTTTGTGATATGTTTAGACTTATGTATTCTACATTTCAATTAAGCTGTAATGTGGGATTTTTACCCTAAAAAGTGGGCTATAAATCATTAAATAAATGAAATAAAAATCAACATTTGAAACGTTGAAAATAATTCAGCCAGGTGCAAAAAGGAAATATAAGTACTTTTCATTATTAATACACTGCATTCATATCTTGCCTTTTTTCCTCTTTCAAGGAACCTGAGGCAGCTTACATAGCTCCATTTTCTTTTCACAACAACCCAGCAAGGTAGGGTAGATTGAGTGCCAGTGATTAACTCAAAGGCACCCAGTGAACTTCATGGCCAGGTGGGGAATCAGCTAGGAACTTCTAGTCCAACGCTGTCACAACACAGGCTTTCAAATGTCAAGATCCTGTGCCACTGGAATTTTATGATCTATGAATATGCAGTTACCTATATCCCTCCCCATCCCCGATCCTCTTTTTCCACATTGCTGCATGTGTTTCCTTACAGACAAGTGAGATGCAGACCTGCCCTTACCCAGCCAGCAGGAGGTGAGGGCTGGACAAGACAGGCACTCCCATGGCTAACCGTGTCAAGCCAAGGCTTTTGCTTTGGGCAGGGGCTCAGGTTCAGCAGCCAGGGTCATTTTGAAACACAGAGCAGAGAGAAGCTGCACATACAGGGAAGGCTTCTTGGTTGTTTCTCGTCTCAGGATGTGCAGTTCGTTTTTTATATATCACACAAATTGTGTGATATATAAAACAAAACAAAACAAATTTTTGCAAAACACGTGAACCACATTGTCTTGTTTGGTCGTTCAATAACTATTATGGCTTTCTGTTTTTGCTTTTATGTAATAACTTTCCCCCTCTTCCACTGGACTTAAGTATGATTGCTACCTGAATCTCTGCTTGTACTGGAGTGTGAAACACCCTCACCCTGCTCCTGTTTAGGATTTTTTGCAAAACACGCTGGATCAGAACTGAACCGGTGCAACGCCTGCTGCTGGGAGCAGGGTCTCTAGTCCACTCTCTCTCTCTCTCTTCCGTGGCAGCTCCAGGACCTTGGCCCTTCCTCCCTGCCACTCTCCCCACTCATCCCCATCCAGACTCCCACATTCTCACAGGTTGCTCCCACAGGTGCTCTCTTTTCCGATCTCATCTGAAGGGAATTTCCTAAATATGGGGACCCATTCTGGGAAGAAGATGATACAATCCCCACTGAGGCTCCTCTTGTTTCCTTTTCAATTTTAATCCATAAGGTGCTGACCAGGTCAAAGAAGCCATATGATTCTGAATAATGGAGCCTATCTAAAAATGTAATACGACAGTCCTAAAATAGCTGAGTAGAGCAGCTGCAGAACTGGCAGAAACACCATACTGAGATGCCCACCCAAGTACCAAAATGGATGATGCCCACATGGAAACAGAACAGGGCAACATCCCGCACCATGGGCCAGGGTGAGGCGCTATTTCTGTGTACTCAGCAGGCAGCTTCTGGAAGGGGATGTCTCAAAAAAGACTGAGCAAAAGGTCTGCTTGTGGCTTCCAAGAAAGGAGTCAGCAGAGTCCATGGCTCACGACAGTGGGCTGTGGCTAAAAGTATAAAGCTCCTCCATTGTCTAAAAATGCGATCCCATTACAAGGGTCACCGGCCTTTCATTCCAACAGCCCAGTTGACACATCCAGGAGAGCTGCTACCATCTCGCCCCGCTTTCCCATGTGCTGGCCCTACCCATCCCTCGCACAAGCCGTACCTCTTCTCCTCTTGGATGTTCTCAATGCCAATGGCACTACTACGTCGCCCATTGAAGCGGCTGCCTCGGTTGCGTGACGGGCTTCTCCCCGGTAGGGCAAAGGACTAGAGGGGAAGGAAAGGACAGTAGGAAAAAAGGAGAGAAGGAGGAAGAAGTAGAAATGGCGAGAGCTGGAAGAGGAACACAAGACGGAAGCCTGGACTCCATACCCTGCCCTTGTTTCGTTATCCAATGCTAATGTTGCCTGTCTAGCTATCAAAACTGGAAGGCAATGAGCCAGAAGAGGAAGGGAGATCAAGAGGAATAAGAAGAGAGAGGACCACACAGAGGAGAGACAGGCTGAAAGAGAAAGGAATTCAGAGCATGACAGTAGCACTGGGGAAGGAAAATACAGACTGAGGAGAGAAACACAGGGGATGGAGAGTGTGCACAACGCCAGGGGGTCAGACGAGGTATTATGGCAAGTGGCGCAGCTGCCACCCAAAATGGTGCCCCCTGATCTTGTGCCATCCTTCCCCTCCATAACATCCTATAGAACTTACCTCATGCAGCAGAGCATGTTTCCCTCCCCACACCACTGGCAGTCAAGTTGTGGACCAGGGCAGGGAAAGCTGGAATGCCACAGAAGTAAACATGGCACAAAATAACTTCGGGGGGGGGGGGCAAAGGGGTGAACACATGACAGGTGTATTCTCATGAGCTGTGCATTTATTCCTGCATTGAATTTGCCTCAGAGAGCAAGAAGGAAAAACAAAAGGCAACATGCTCCAGGACATGCTTTTCCATTGCTCTACATCCAATTTGGCAGTCTTCCTTTGACTGCTGCTCTTCCTGCAATTGCCTTTCCCTGCAGAATTCCCCTAAAAGGGACATTTCCTTGCTGGCTTTCCTGGCCACGGAACTTGGAACCTGCAAAATCCTCAGCAGTCATCAAAGGGGAGAAATTGATACCTTTACCCTGAATCACCAAACCTTGCAGTGTCCTCTAGCCCCCTGCATCAGTGAGATTCTACTGCTGACTCTGAGCAAGCAACGGACACATTTGAGTGAGCAGTTCGGCAGTGGCACACAAACTTTCAGACTTTCTGCAAACCACCGGTCCTGCTACATAGTTTGCTGCTCCAATAGTCAAGGGCAAACTCAGGACAGAGGGACAGGCAGCAAAACACATGCTCTGCCTGGAAAAGATCCCTGGCCCATTACTCGGTATCAACAGGGGCTGTGTCCAACTCGGTTAAGTCCCACCTGAGGATATATGCACACAAGCACATTCTTCGCATTTAAGCTGCAACTCAAGTCCCGACTAAGGAGACAACAGCATCTACTTCTATCATATGCCTTCTGTGTCCATGCACAATAGGAAATGCTTGCTTGGATAATAACTGGAAGCCAACCCAAACAAATCCATTGCAAATCTGTCTCGGAAACATGCATGCGAAGCGAAAGAAGAGTCACTAACGTGGTTTTCCTACCTACTGTTCTTTCCTTCTAGACATTACATCATAAAGCCCTGCCTGTTAGTCAGTCAGTCAGTCACTGTATCAACTGACCTCGGCATGCAAACCACACTTGCAGCAGATATAACAAATCTCACTGTCAAATTGTCCTCAGTAGAGATGGAGGTAGCACACATTGCAAGCCATACAGAAACATTTTTGCTTCCCTTAAAAATTGAACCAAATCTGATTTCGGGCTACAGAAACATTGTCATCCTGAAGAATGGCTTATACCAAGAGAGGGGTGGTGGGGAAAATGCAATCCTGCTGGTCTTCTGAGATCTCTCTGTGTCTTTTGATGCCATATCATGGCACCCTTCTAGGTAGGCTTGTCTGGATTGAGAAGTGAGGAACCGGGGACCTGGCGTATGGGTGGTCCCGTTCTTACCTAGAGGGCTGATCCTAGAAGGCAGAGCCATGGAACTGCTGCTTGGCCCAATGCCATTTGTGCCAAAGGGGCCCCCGGGATCTGTGTTGTCCAACATGTTTTAACAGCTGTATCAGCCTCCCCCACTCTAGTGCCCTCCAGGTCGATACTGGCACAGGGTGCAATGAGGTCCAGACACAGAGAACTAGGGTAGAGAAATGAAGGGAGATGGAAGAGTAACACCCATGAAACGCCCGCAGGGGAAACTGGCAGCCACAGACAGAAAATGTGGATGAGCAGGAAGCCCACAGGAAGGCAGGGCAGCTGAAGAGAGGATGGCCTCTGCGCCATGAGCCCACCTCCCTGATGCCTTACCGCAGCAATAGCCTTGGGGCCCTCGGCAACACTCTGGTTGAGGGTGAGGCCGGCTGGAGCTGGGCGGTTGGGTGGAGTGGACGGCGGCGGCTGCTGCTGCTGCTTCCTCATGGCTATTCCCATGGTATCCAGGCTTTGGCTCCGGCCCCGGATCACCCGCTGGAGAGAAGGCAACAGGGAGACAGAGAGATACCTTCACAAGCCACTTGAAGCATACCCCTGGGCATGGGCGGGTGGGCAGAGCAAGGCACATGGAACCAGCGCAAGCAGTGCCTGGACTCCCTGCTTTCCTGCCAGGGCTTGGGCAGACAAAGAGGTGTTTCCAGGGGACAAGCAGAAAGCCTGCTGGAATCAGCCTAATCTGTATCCCCCTGGAGGAGCTCACTCTTTTCAGTTTCTTGAGGTCCTCCTTTAATCAAGAGAAACTCCCCTGCCAATCCGAACTCTCCAGTAAATAACCCAGTACAATTCACAGCTCTATAAACCCAGTGGGGGCGAGTTAAGGGAGAGAGAGAGCTCATTACTGGAACAAAGAGAGTCCAGGAACAAGCTGAGGGCTCCATTTTTCAATCTTTTAAGAACAGTTCTGCACAGCCAGTTCAGTGTATGCCGCAGCTCTGCAAAGAATGGATGGAAGAATCGCAGTTGTGATGCCTCCCAAGGAAAATGCAACAACAAAGACAAGAAACACCCTGTAGAAAATGAGCCTAGCGGAGGATAGACTTTTCTAGAATGGCTCACTACAGTAACATACCGACTTCATTGCAATGCAAGTATCAGCCACTGTTCCTGGCCCTCCATCACTGCCTGTTCTTGCATTTAATAACTTTAATGTGCTATTAATGTAATATTTATCTGAAGGAGGAATCGATATACATCAATTCTTACCAGGAAATGTCACCAAACTGAAAAATAAACCACATTTTCCAGGAGTCCACCTCTATTTCTAGATATGGGGGTGGGGTGGAGAGCGAATGTATTAAAATATACTTCAATTTCAGGGAAGTATCTTACACTAACATCCCTGATTAAAAATTAATTGCATCTGTTTGCCTTGCTGAACTTAAACTTAGTGACACTTGATCTCTTCTCAGAGGCATGGGGCAACCATGACTTCGCTCTATCTGTGGAACAGCCGTCCACATAACTGCGACACTCACCATCTTCTGCAGTAAACAAACCTGATGTCCTTAGATGGGCAATTCGTCCCTCCAGATGCTTTGGCCTACAACTCCCTCACTGTTATTTATCCTAGTCAAAGCTCATTTTGTTCTTCTGCAGAACCCCACCCTCCCTGAAAATACTTGCATTGTCACACCAGACAAAGTGGTGAGGAGGGAGCTGAACAAGCCCTGCGTCAAATGTCTCATCTCTTCCATGATCTTGTGCATCTACTTGTGTGTTCATGGTGGAGCTGCGATTCCAGCTCTGTACAAAGAACCTTTTCTTTCCTGCTTTTCTTCTGCATAATTTCTAGGTGGTGCTCAAAAGAGTGCAAATATGAAGACCTTACTTTCCTTTCAGGAATAATAGCCTATTTTCCCCACTCCAAAAAAACAAAGAAAAACAAAAGCAACCAAAAATGCTTTTAAAAGCAGCAGTAAAACTGGTGGATCACAATGTCATTCAAAGAAATAGTAAACTGTAAATAATGATGATTGCACAATAAATGCCTCCAGTGGTTAAGTTCTAAAGCCCTAAAGTTCTAAGACTTGTGTAGCACGTTCCATTCCACAAATATTTTATCCTGTGTGCTGATTCTAGTCCATTTCAAACCTCCAATCTGAGTAAAATTGAACTCTTATCCCAGATTTTGTCTCTTAAAATTTTGTTTTTAGTTTATACATCAAAATTGTCATGAGAATATGACAAAACTGTCCATGAGCTGCTTAGATCCTGGCTTCATTGCAACCTCCAATCATTGACCATACAGGCAGTCCATGGGTTATGAACAAGATCCATTCCTGAGAACATCTTTAAGTTGAATTTGTATGTAAGTCAATTCACGTGTAATCAGGCCTCCACATTTGTTGGGGTTGGGAGCACAGGACTCCCATGAAAGTAGAATAACCATGACTATCTCTAGGCCCCCTCCCGGCCTGAATTCACCAGTGCCTCCTCTTTGCACTGAGGAAAAGCCTGAGGAAAATCTCCCTCTCCAGATGGACAGGGCAGGAAGGCCTGCTTTGGAGGTCTCTCTCTCCCCACTTTCACTTCCTTTCTCTCTATGGTGATGCTATGGAGGCCCTCCCTCTCTCCCCTTTTGCTTCCCGCCCCCCTCTCTATGGTGATGACAGTTTTCTATGACAAGGTTTCAAGGTGGCTAGATGGAGGGGACACAATGGATGTGGTTTACCTGGATTTCAGCAAGGCCTTTGACAAAGTGCCCCATGATATCCTGGTTGAGAAAGTGAGGAGTTTTGAGATAGACCAATACCCTGTCCGATGGATTAGGGCATGGTTGACTGACTGAAAGCAGAGGGTAATGATTAGTGGGGAATCATCAGGATGGCGGCTAGTGACTTAGCAGGGTCCCCCAGGGCTCTGTCCTGGGGCTGATCCTGTTCAATCTTTTAATCAATGACATGGAAGAAGGGGTGAACAGTCCACTGATCAAATTCGCAGATGATACTAAAGCAGGGGCAGTGGCCACAACTGAGGAGCAGGTACTCCAGATCAAAAAAGATCTGGACAGACTATGGAAGTGGGCAGGAGACAACAGGATGGCATTCAATGTGGATAAGTGCAAGGTCTTGGGAGGGTGTCGTAAGTACAGGTTAGGGGACAAATGGCTGGAGAGCAGCACATTTGTCTTCAATTCCAATTTTTAAATTTTGTTTGTAATTATGGATGTACATAACTCAGGTGTTCGTGACCTGGGGACTGCCTGTACCACAACTCTGGTGCCAGTGCACTGCTACTTCATGAATCAGGCTACCCAGCCATAAGTAACAAAACTGCGGCCAAAGCATACCACATCATGCTTTGTGGGAAAAAGCTGGCACCCCCAACATTCAAGACCCCACACTGTGCATACAAACACAAGACCAGCATGTCAGGACTCAGCCTGGCATCGCTTCCTGCCTGATTTAGGATGTAATCCTGTGTTGCCAAACTAGAAAAAAGGCTACCGGCGGGCCCCAGCCCGTGTTCCCTCTGCTACAACACTGCTAGGTCATACTGTAACACAGCAGAATAGCTCAAGCACACACCAAGCAGCTGTGCTTTCTTTTGCTTTCACAATCAAATGCTGCCTTTTCCCTGCCCTAAAAAACCTCAGTGAAAGTGCTGGTTAGACACTGGAGGGTCATGATGATCTAAAGAGCCTCCATTCATCTGTGTGTAGGAAGTGACAAGTGCACAATAAATGCCTCATGTAGATGACCCCACGTTTCTCTAAGACTCCGTACAGATACCAGATCGATCTCTGTCTCTAGCCAAAGCCAAGCATAAATACTAGCCCTTCCCCTGAAGAGAGTTACAGTGTGCAGCATTGCATTAACTGTGCTGCTAAACCTTTTCCAAAGCGGGAGGGCACATGCAGGGGTGCATACTGTTATTCTGTGCAGAAAAGGTGGGGAACTGAGTGACTAGCAGGGTGGTGTGGGGGAAATGTTCCTTCTCAAGCACAGGGACAGGAAATACTAGGAATTGCTCATGGCCGAAATAAAGACTTCCCATTCACTAGCACACCAGGTGGCATCAGGGAAGAAGCAATTCTCATCTGTTCTGAGTGTGGGCCAGAGGAAGCAAAATAAACAAGCAAGCAAGCAAACATAAAAAGAAAGCACTGAAGCTGACCATGATCCAAGTCAAAAACTGTGTGCACGAAATGACTGTCAAAAAACCTAGCCATCTCCAGGCTGCAGTGTGCTACTTGACAACAATGGCTGATGCAAAAGTGGCCATGGATCCACCCAGCACTGCTCGAAAAACCAGACCTAAATCCACCATTCTTGACTCTCTCCACACTTGTAGCAAGTCCCATGCAGTACAGGGACAGCTTACAGAGGAGCACATGGCCTGAGCTTACGTGCCTTTATGACTGAGATCTTTGGGGAAGTCCTCTTTTCCAGCCCGCTCGTCTCTCCACCAAACAGCAACAAAGGCTGGCTGTTCCTATAATGCCGTGCCAGAGAACAGCCAGGGAAACAGGGCTAAGCGCTCCCTGCAGTCCCTGGAGCACTTGCAATGTTACTTCATGGTTTCACCCCAATCCTGCATTCTCTTCCAGCACATTGCCGTTCATATTGTGTTAGGCAGTGCAGAACCTGAGGAGGAGCTGCATCTGAGAACCTGAACCCAAAATCTCCATGTGATCAGTGCCTCAGTTTTAACTACGTGACCGGGGAGGCTGCTAGCCGCGTGCGACAAAGATATGTGTGGGCAAAAGGACCTGTGTGGAGCCTTTCAAAACATACTGACATGTAGCGTAGCGAAGAGGCCGGGCTGTGAGCCAGGAAACCCCTGGATTTCAGTACGCTACCATCTCTCAGCTTCAGCCCTACCTCACCCCACCTACCACAGGGAGATGACCTGTCTGTAAGAGTGGTTGTAGAGGTGATCCAGGTGAAGCGTTTTCCATACACAAAAAGCAAACCACCACCATTGTCACCACCGTCCATCAGGAGCAGTACAAAATGGGTGAACGCAACACGACCCTGAGAGAGTCAGCATCCGCTCCCTCCCTCACCTTGAAATTCTCAAAGAAGCCTCCGCCCCCGTTCTCCATTTTGTCCTCGTCACCAGAGGCCAGGCCCATCATGCTGCGGCTACGAATCTGCAGCTCCTCATACAGGCTCTCCAAGAGGGCACTGCGCGTACGCTCCTGCTCCAGAGAGAGAGACAGACAGAGGTGGGGGGGAAGCACACACATCAAAGTGCGATCCAAAGACAAGTGGAGCATCTGTGCGTGTGTGTGCCTACACACACAAGCAGAGAAAGACCAGCCCGAGTGACAGAATGGCAGGCAAGTCCATATCTAGGTTATTTATATAGTCCACTAAATCATATGAATTCAGCCTCAGGTCAGCTTTGTAGTGGTGTCTGGGCTAAACTTGAGGGGCTTCTTAGAAACAGGTTCCCTTTTGAAGATATTAAGACCAACACCAGAGGGTTTGCTCTTCAGTGAGCAAGGGAGACAGATCCTTTTTGGTGGCTATGCAGTGAGTGACTCCAGAACTCTCTCCAACAGGAATCTGTCAGGCCCTTTCTCTTTTGCCAGAAATTACAAACACTTGTTTGGACAGCCTTTTAATGTGATGCCCTATTGTTTCAGCTGCTTGGACTGGGTTTTGTTTAAGTGTTAGTTGTATTTGGCCATTACTTTCTGAAAGAGCATGTTGTATTGCTTTGTTTGGCTGCATGCCATACAGTACCCTGAGCAGAAGAATGAGAAAGGAATACATCGGCAATGCCAAGGGGACCCTTCCTCACTGTCTTTTAAAACAGTTTCTGCTACAGGAATGAAAGCCCCAGCCCAACCTGTACACTACCTGCCTCTTTTACTTCAAAGGCACTGGGTCCTTGCCTCAGTGCTACTGCTCCTTGGAGGAAGCGCAGGACACAAATGTGGCACGGATGCATAAAATATTGCAAAAAGGGAGCTGGAAGAATCTGAGGGCTTGTCAGAGAAACCACCTTCCCCAGTCTAGGCAACCTTCCACCTCCCTTCCTCCACACACTGGAAGAATGAGGTGCTACTGCAATAAGGAAGAATAGCCCGTGGGTTATGACTAGTCCACGTCATCTTGCCATCTCTTTACCTGCTCGTGTGTTTTTCTTCTCTTCTTAAGGGGCTTTCATTTCAAACAGGTACTCAGTCCTTTTAATTAGTTCCTGGCTTCCAACAATTTTAAGATTATGATAGAAATTGTGAGAAGTCTCCCGTGGAATAGATAATCCTACAATGGATTCCTGGTTGACTTGGCATTTCTTTTTGTATCTTACTAGTTCTTTCCAAGCCATTACTTCCTGCTCTTCATACAGCTGTTCCTTCTAAGAGATGTTAACAAAGTTAACAGTGAAGAAGCTCACCTCCAGCTTAGCAAATTTCTCAGCATGGTAGCAGCTATACTCTGCATTGATAAGTTTTGCCAGGAGAAATTCACGGAATTCAGCACCCTGTAAGAAGGAGAAGACTCACTCACCGTTTTGAAGGTTCTGCAAGACCCCGTTTCAAAATGACTCAGAACCCTTTTGGCATCAGAAAGGGGGCTAAAAGATTTTGGGATGTTTCTCAGCCGACCGAACTCACTCAAATTTCATGTCAATGTCAAAGCCTAGCAGAGACACCTCATACAGTAACCTTGAAATACTGCAATGGGCTGCACTCTACATTGTCAGTGCTTTCCACTCTCCATAGAAAAGAATCTCTCCCAGATGTTGGAATCTAGCAAATAAAGACTATCTTTCTTCCAGGTATATTAGCTTTTCACATACATGGGAGTTTTTGGCATACAGGGCCATACATACAAGTAATCCTGCATTTGCCATGTGGAAGGACACAGTCCCAATCAGAAAGTCCTTCAGAGATGCAGATCAATCTCTGCTAATCTCTGAAGTTAGGAGAAATTTGAGTGAAAAGTGTGAGTTTTCAGGAGTGTGAGGTGACTTTGAGCTACATACAGCACCAAGAACACTTTAGGCACTTCTACAAATAGACAATGGCAACAGAAACATGCTAGAGCAGAGGTGCGCATCCTCCAGCTTGCACTGAGACCCCCAATTCCCATCAGCCAATGGTAATGGATAAAGGGAGTTATAGTCCATCATCTACAGCAGCAGCCGTCAACCTTTTTGGCGCCAGGGATCAGTTTTGTAGAAGACAATTTTTCCATGGACCAGGGTGAGGGGATGGTTTCAGGATGATTCGAGTGCATTACAGCAGTGCCTCATACTCTGAACTTAATTCATTTCAGGAGGCCATTTGAACCCTGAATTTTTGGAAGTGCAAATCAATTTTCCCTATTAGAAATAATGGAAAGTGAATTAATCTGTTCCCACACACTAAACAATACCCATTTTGATAAATTTAAACAGCAAATATAGCCTCCTGAAACAAATGAAGTTTGAAGTTATATATGAGGTGTGATCAAAAATATGGTGAAAGTTTAAATAAAAATATTATTACAATAAAAGACACATTGCCATTATCCCCCTCAAAATATTCCCCCTCACTTCAAATGAATTACCTCATCATTCTTGAGATTCCTTAGTTACACTGTCATGGCTCCCTTGATGTTGTGAATCAATTCAAGCTGAATGGATTCAAGACAAGATGATTCAATTCAAGCCAAATGGATTTAAGACATGGCAAATTGATTCAAGATGAACAGATTCAAGGCAAGACAAATCCATTCAATATGAATGAAATGAAGACAAGGCAAATCGATTCAGGATGAATGGATTTAAGACAAGATGAATCAATTCAAGCCAAATGGGTCCTGGACAAGATGAATCAATTCAAGCAGAATGGATCCCAGACAAGATGAATGGATTCAAGATGAATGGATTCAGGGCAATACAAATCAATTCAAGATGAATGGATTCATGATGAATCAATTCAAGATTAATAGATTCAAATTAAGATAAATTGATTCAAGATGAAGACAAGATGAATCAATTCAAACCGAATGGATCCCAGACAAGCCAAATCGATTCAAAATGAATGGATTCAAGACAAGAGTGTAAGCCGTCCTGAGGCTGCGGCAAAGGACAGCATATAAATGTTTTAATAAAGATGAAGCAATTCAAGCCAAATGGATCCTAGACAAGACGATCTGAATCGAGGTGAATAGATTCAAGACAAGACAAATGGATTTAAGATGAATGGATTCAAGACAAGACAAATCAATTCAAGCCGAATGGATTCAAGACAGGACAGACTGACTCAAGACAAATGGATTCAGGACATCAAGGCAATGTATCTTTTACTGTAATGTGTGTGTGTGTGTTTTTTTAACTTGGGTATACTACCAGTGATGTTTTTGCTGCGACAGCATTTTTTTCACTTCACTCGCAGTTTGAACTTAGAAGCATCATTTGAAATGCGGAGCGATCTTATCTTGACTCTAATGTTCAAACTCTGGAATCTTTGAAGTTAAGAGTCCTGCTGTGCGGCCTGCTTCCTGACAGGCCACGGACCAGCACTGGTCCATGGCCTGGGGGTGGGGGACCCCTGATCTAGGGGGCCACAGAGTCCCCACCCCTGTGCTGGAGCCATACCTGTGATGACTGCAGGATTTTTCTAGCCCTAGATAGTTCCATGGTATGCAGCCTGCACTGTGGAGAAAGTTACCCAAAGGCCTTTCCCCTTAAAGCTTTCCTTTTTCCTGCTACAGGAACCCATGAAATTAACAAACCTTTTTGAATATTGCTGGATTTGGGAGAGGAGGCCCAAAGAAGGGAACGTCGTCACGTGCTGTCACAGAAACCTGAAATAATCAGAAATGACAGAATGACTCAAGAATAGGATAGAATAGGACTACTGGACAGGGTAGGGCAGAGAAAAAAGAATTCAAGAATTTTCTTGCTCTCTGGTGAAATAGTGAATAATCACCAAGCAACTCAAAATGAACTTCTGCTTATGACCAAAAGGTGCAGACTGCCAGAAATACCCCACATACAGACCTCACACCCTGCACAAATTGGGGCCAAAGGATGATTTGGGAGGGACGGTTCAGGCCCGCAACTGGGCCTTCTCACACACATACCATAAACCCATCCTATATCTATTCTCTTATAAGCCATGAAAAAGTGTATATTTTAATTCTAACATTATAGTTTCTACCCTTCTGGAGTTACGCTGTGGTCCATAATGGAATTTTTTTCCTATGACCCCAATCACAGCCAGCTTTATTGCTGTTTTTATCACCCACCCAGAAGGGATTACAGCATACAAACTATTTTGTAAAATTTAGCTTTTGCTCATTTTTTTCCATAACGAACCAACACAACTGCAAACATTTTATAAATAGACATTGACCAGGTTCACACCACATAAGGACGCATCATGGTCTGCAAACCCAAATGGATTCCCAGGGGGTGGTTTGTTTGAGGGCGACAAGCCACCCTAACAACCCACAGTTTATTTTAAGGATTGTTGCACCCATGGCAGGTTGCCAGGTCATCCAAACCCAGGCGACTGGCCACACTGTGCATACTGGGGTTCAGCTACTGAGCCACCTGGCGAAACTCAAGCTCCCATCAAACATGCCCAAGGACCCATCAGTGTCAGCCATGCCACAAGCACCCAAACAGCACTTTGAGGTGGCTGGCATGGGCTTGCTGGTCTCCCTGCTGCACCTGGAAGCTGTTTTGGCCTATCTGCAGCTCTTGATGCTTTTACCCCTTTTTCCCTGCAGATCGTGAAAGCCAGCTTGACCGTGATCCCTATTTTGGCATCCACCGGCAGCCCCTCAAAGAGTTCAAGCGGCACCTTGGAGGGGCTGTCAAGACCAAAAGTTTGCACACAAAATGCATGCAGCTAGGTACTTCTTCTCTTCTTTTCTTCTCTTGCCACATGTGCGTAACTGTGGAAGTTTGTGACAACAGAAATTCGAAGCCTCAGCCAGGACAACATGAGCAAGGGAAAGCAGAGGCACACATGACCTTTGCGGATGAAATGGGATTGGTGTGATTTACACCATCTTCGTAGTGAGATCGTCCTCTCTTCCTCACCAACAGTCTGAGGGTGATGTACAGTTTGCACTTTTCCCTGAGACTTTCCCAAAAGAAAGCACTTTCTCAAGTACCTGGAATTTCTAGAGAAAGTGAAAAATATATCAAGGGAAACCAAGGGAGGAAAACTATTCAGAGCTTCTTTGGGCCAGTGTTCCAGACTTGGTACCTGCTCCAATGTGGCAGCAACCATTTCTCAGCATACTGCACAAGCCAAGACTCTAAATTTCTAGACTTGCACAACTGCAAGCCTCTGTAGTTGTGGCTAAATATAATAATTTAAAAATGAAAAAATGTGGGTGCAATTGAGAAAAAAGGTTTGCTAAGCACTGAAATTCCCACTGAATTAAAAAAAAAAAGTAAATGGTAAAAAGGATGTGGTGAGCTGAAAATGGCTTGCAATTGCAGCAAGGAGAAGAGGGACACCCGTGGTAGGACTGAAGATGCATCTAATGTACAACTGGACTCACTCCTGTTTATGCCCCGCCCTTTTTGGTCCTCCCAGTCCTCCCAGTTTTATTCCCTTCATCCTCTCACAGGTATCACTGGAGTCTCCCCAATAGAACCAATCTGTCTCCTTTTCCTACGCCACAATTGTGAGCCCTTTAGTGCTCTCTGCAGCTTTAACCTTTTTATTATTATTATTTTAAACAGAATATGAAAAACTGTCCAATTTGACAGCTGGTGTTGTTCAGGAGGCACACTGGAGGGGCTGCACTGATTTGTCACTCTCCCTTTTTTGAGGGCAAGAAATTTGCACAAAAGCTTAAAAACAGATCTATTTAGTTAACTGATTACTTGGACTTGGACATGTCAAAGGGCAATCATTCCTCTCCATGGCCAATGACCCTGAGAGACAGCAATGAGCTCTGTCTTTCATTCCATTTCGCTTTACCCTGGCAGGTGTCAAAAGGCGAGATGTCAAGAAAAATCAAAGCCAGGAGAACTTTGCTCATGAAAGGGGTGGCCGGTTTCTTTTGGACCCGACTCTTCTCAGAGTCCAATTGTACTTATTTGCTCTCTCCACACACACACACATACTCCTTTGCCAAGTATTACTGAGCCTTGGTCCATGTGTGCAAAGCTTCTTAGCAGGTGGGCCCCAATTTTGCCCCAGTCACCATTTCAGGGTTGTTGTTGTTTTTTAACTGTTGGGAGTATTTTTACACATTTAAAGGCTGGGAAGTAAATGGAAAGGCAATTTGTGCACCTTTAAAGGCTGGGCAATAAATGCAGGGAAAAATTGAATACCTGCTGTAGCTGCTCTGAAAAGGAGTGGCAGGTGTGTACTGTCAGCTGTTTTTGCCAGCCAAGTTGTATAAACCTGTCTTCCCTGTTAACGCTGTTAACATTTGGTTCTAAAGTCTTTCAGGAAGTGCTAGGATGTTTTTACTGTGGATCATATTTTATATTGCATTTTATTGTATTGTACACCATGCAAGAATGCTTCAGCTACTCGGCACTATAGAGGTATTTTTACTTATTTAATATTTATATACCGCCTCGTTCCCACAGACTCAGTTATTATAAGTAGTATATAATATATTATAAACATTTAAAGCAACATTATTATCACTGTTACTACCAATAGTGAGAAAATAACGTTGCCAAGGTACAGCCACCCCACCCCTTTTCTGGCGCACTTACTCTGTCCACCCTTTCTCTCATTTTTGGTGCTTTTGAACTGCACAACTGGGTCCCTCTTCTTTGTTTTATCTTTACCCATTCCTCCTCAAAGGTAAACAAATCATCCTTTATGCAGCCTCGTCTTGTCAATTTCCTTTTACATTACCTATTTCACCTCAGAGCACCTTCCACAGCTGCATCATCCAAGTATATTGACAACACAGGACTGCACACATCCAACAGCTAAAAGTGTAGTCTTGCATGCTTGCAAAATAAAGGGGAATCTGTTTTTGGAAAATCACGAGAAAATCCACATACTTCCACAGCACCAAATAAGAAAGAAAAGGAAGACTATGGAGAAAATAGGGCTGCAGTCAGAGAAGGCAAGGAGGGGAAGACAAGACCGGTCCTGCCACGAAGGTGCCTGGGAGATGTGCTGGAGCTGGCCAGAGGACTCAGGCCCAGGAGAAGCAGCCCCGGCAAGCTGAACGATCTGTCAGGAACACCACGGGCTGGCCAGGGAGCAGCCAACCCACCCGCCACGGCTTGTTTACAGGGAGGCCTAGCACGGCATGCGAATGCAGCCAGCAGGGGCCCATGCGCGCTTGCCTTGTAGAGCGTCTCCCCAGGGGGGCGGCGGTGGAGCTGCACGACCACATAGGCATGCAGGAAGTTCGATGCAATCATGTCGGGCACAAATGGCGTATTTTCATCCTGGAAGACAATGGCCACGATATCATTCCCGATGTGGCGCTTCCGCTGAAGCTGCAAGAGGAGACAGAGGAACGCGTGAGAAGGGAGTGGCCCTTCGGAGGAGCAGCCTGCCCAGCAAGACCTACTCAGTCTCCAGACTCTCCTCTCCATGAATTTCCAGCTTCCAGACCAGCTAGTTCCCCAAACAGGTAGCTGCCTCTTATTCCAACTGCAACTTTCTTCAACAATCCCTTTGTCACACCAGCACCCGAACTGTTCCCATCACTCTGTGGCTGTGGCGTGCAAACTCCAGTGTGCTACCGGGCACCATTTTTGGCCCCCACCTAACCTACCCCCACCCCTAAGTACAGAAATAGCGTTCTGTAATCACTGAAAAGTGTGGGTTCAAAGAAGTTAATTTTGTGTTGGACGAAGACTTCATCTCTGCCTTTAACTAAATCTTTTGGACAAGCGACGTGTCTCTTCCAACTAGCCACTCCTTCCACGGAGGCCATTTTGCGCAGAAGAGTTTCCTTCATTGCCAAATGGGTCCACAGGCCCAAAGACATTGCTTGCCCCTGCTCTGGAAGCTTACAAACCAGTATTGTTCAGACAGACTTTCCAAGAAAGCCAGGAGATGAGTGAGAGGCAGGCATCCAAAGCCGCACCCTCTGCTCTAGCTCCACTCCTGCTTACAGGGAAACAGGCCAGGAAGCTGCAGGAAGGTTCCAGCCACATCCAAACCAGGTTAGTATAGCTGATAATCTCCAAACACGCCAGAATATGACACTGTGATTTAAGGTTGGCTACTGAATCCCGCCTTGTTTGGAGACCATTAACTATAATTTCCAGTTTGTGAATAAGAGGAAACAGGTTAGGTGCAGTTAAATAGCTTTTTTTAGCTGGCTCATGTGAAAGAAGTAAAAGGGCCTAGGAGAGTGTGCTAAACTCGCTCATTTCCTTGTCCTGTTAAGACGGAATGGGATTATCTGAAGGGACCACTGTGTTCCCCAGAGCGCTCCACAAGATACCTGCTGGGCATCTCCCTCGGTGAAGGGCAACATTGTAGAGACGTGGAACATGATCTCTTTCCCCCGGAAGTTTGTGTAGATAGATTCAGTTCCTGTCTGGCCTCTCGTGACATCCAAGCCACCTCGAAATCTGAGCAGACCAACAAAGGAAAGGCAAAAGAAGGTGGGTGGAAAGAAGAGCAAAGAACAAAGAGAGGCCACGAACAAAAGTAGCACTGTCATTAAAGATGGTAACGCAAGTGAAGCAACAGGAGTATTCTGGTCTGGCCGTTTGCTTTACCGAACTACCTGTGGTTTGGAAGTGTTATGGTTTGGCCCTTCCCCCTCCCAAGCCCTAGATGCTGGCTGCAAGAGCTTTAAAATAAACTGCTCAAGTATTTTTTGTATTTTTGGCCCCAGTGCTTTTGCTTTTAGTCCTGTCCACCACCTGAATGCAGGCCCCCCCGCCCCCCACCCCCATTTCTGAAACTGAATTAACTGTTTCAGCTAAAGGAGGTTTCCCCAACCTGGTCTACTTCTGTTGGTCAAAGTCATTTGTTCTGACACACATCTCAACAGGAAGAACAGGCCAGCAAAGACACCTTATGAAACCTGTTTCGACATCTGTAGAAATGTCTGTTTTTTCTCTGCTCCATTGTCTATATTTCTATTGCAGTTTTAGAACTCAATGAAAAGCAGTTTAATAAATATGGAGAAAAAAATAATCTTGACACTAAGGAGTGACAGGGCCTTTCCCAGGGAGCAGACTGAGTCCGAGGTGCCCAATCCTATATGCAGTTACTATGGGAAAGCCCCACAGAGCTCAGGGATACTTCCAGGCGACTGCACTACAAGAGGGTGGAACTCTGTTTTTCCCTGGAGGCTTTCGGTTAGCAGAAGATCAGTGCCCAAGTGTACAGCATTGGACTGTTTCTTTATGAAAGATAATTCAATGGTGAAACAATGGAGCAAATTAACACTTTCAATACTTTGGTGTTTTTGGAATTATGAATGCCAAAGTATTCACATTTATCCTGTTCAATAAAATTAGAGATCTGTATTCAGCAAAACTTAAGCCTTTGCATACATTTCACAGGCAATTCTGTATTTTTCAGAGTCGCATGGCATCCATAAAATCCATATTCCTGGAATCCTGCAGCTAAATAACTCGCTGCTTAGTTCCAAAGAACATGCAAAATCCAGCTCCACCACTTTCCCTCAGTTTTTCCCAACCCTCCTTGCAGAGCCAGGCCACAACACTGCAAAGCCAGAAGCTCCCGGGTGGCAGAATTCCCCAGCCACGAACTCCGAGCAATGCCGTGGGACCCTCGCCCACAATCCCCACTCCTCCAGCCACCCAGGCATGCTCACACCCTTCCTGCCAACGGTGTTACAGCCCCAGTCCATTTCTCTTTCTTGATTCCTCCTCTACTCAGCTCTGTGTCTTGCTCACCCACCATTTCTTCCAGCCCCAACTTGTCAGGCCACTACTTTCCAGATTTCAAACTGCTGAAACGTCTTCAGGGTCTTCTCTCTTTTCTACTCCCCCTGCTGCCGTTTGTTGACCCCCCTTCTCCACCAAGCCTTCCTTCGGGTTCTCCTTTCTTATCTGCTACCTCCTTGGCAACCTTCTTTCAGCCTCTTCCATACCTAGACAGCCTTTCCCAACCCAAAGCACTCTGGATGTGTTGGGCTACAACTCCCCAAACCCCACACATGCGGAGGCCACCAAGTTAGGAAAGGCTGTCCCAAGGACCATTTTCCATTTGAGATTTTGACCTCGCAGGGCTGAAAATGGGTTTCTTCCCTGAGCAAACATGCTTTCTGAGCCGCCGCGCAACTCCAGGCAGTCGGCCTCTGCCAGGGGTAGCAGCATCAGCTTAAATCCAAATGCACAACACATACTACCTGGCAGGCACTCACATACTACTAAGGCACTCACCCGCGGAAATCCTGCAGCTGGATCCTGTCTCCGAGGAGATCTAAAAATTCTAAGAAGCCCTGACTCTCCTCGGTGTTACTGAAGACTTCTTCCTCTGTCGTCTGGAAATGGAAAGGCAGTAGAAAATGGAAGGAAGGCTATTTCCCATTTAAGTTCCTGTCCTGCCCTGGGATTGAGTGCAGAGGAAGCTGGAGAGAGACTCCAACCATTTTTGTACACATGCATGCACGTGCTTCTTTTTCCTACCATTTATTTCTTGCCTTTTCTCCTCATCTTCCAAGTTGCTGATGAGGGTCCAAGAAGAGCTGGCAGTGTCAAGAAAGCAACTTTCTAGACTTCGGGCCTTTCTACATGAAGCTTTTAACCCACCACTTTACCAGGGTTTCTGGCTCCAGGTTCTCTGAATTTCGTGACTGCTAAGTGGCACGGAGGAACAGTGGAATTGTGCAAATACACAAAGGTTTCATGCTGCCATTTGCAGACAACACCCAACTTTCCTTGATCTCAAAAAGCTACAGAAACTGTTGCAAAGAATGGAAAAGGTCCTGGAGGCGGATGCTGTGTAAAGCACCAGCAAACTGCCATGTGTGAGCAACCACAAGCGCAAAGTACATGTCTCGTGTGGAAAGGATGTTTGGACGACATGCTACAGCTTGTCATGGGTTATTTAAGCCATGATGAGCCATAGCGCTCCCACCTGCCAGGTTAGCATGCTGTGCAAACCTAGCAAAGGTTGCTTATCTGAGGGCAAAACAACACAGTCTCTTCTGGCGACTCCACTGTTGCTGCACTTTACCCGACTTTCTCCCAACTGTCGTCCATCACATCCAGCTGCCCTGTTTCTGCAGACTGAACTGCTCGGGGTTGGGGTGGTGCAAACTAGTCAAACAGCGGGGACAGGACACCAGAAAGGAAGGGGAAGACCAAAAAATTACTGGGAGAAGGGGCAAGGGAAGGCAAGTCCTTGCCCAGGGTCCCCAAATGCTTGTTAACTGTCTTTTGCTAGGAAATGACATCAAGTGTGGATGTGGAAAAGCAATTCACCTGCCCAGTTTTCTGGTAGATGACTCCAAATTTGAAGTTATTGCTGATGACATGTTCATCAAATGCAACAATGAGCTGGGAAGCCTAGGAGCAGAGAAACAGCCTGAATTAGAGGCGGTGGTGGTGGCAGCCCCAGAGCTGCCCTAGAGCATGAGAAAGGGCAGGCATGTGATCCAGTACCTTGGGGTACAGTACAGGGAAGAAGCGGTCAACATTCACATCCTCACACAGCAGCTGCAGGAGGAAAGGAGTAGGTGTTAGCACACTCAAGGCAGGGACGTGACTTCCTAGCAAAAAGACAAATGCCATTATCATGCAAACGAGTCATACAGGTTGCTCCGGTATTTAATAAAATGAGAAGATATACTTGTGCAAAGTTAAACTTTGAAAAGTCTGCATTTACAACGGGCTTATCTCATGTCACATTTTTTTCCTCATCCAGGCTGCTATTCATGAATTCAGAATTAATTACTGATGCAATGCAGGCTTGCAACTTGGAGCATTGGGTCATCCTATGCAGGGCAGGAAGCGTACAGAGGTCAGTCTTGGCCATCTTAAATACAGTGCCTTGGAGCAGGTGCCCTCCATGCCCTGAGTGCCCCCAAAAGCATGACCCCGAGGTCACCCCTATGCCCTTAGAGAGGCACTCATGGTTCTTTCTGCATGAGCTGTAATGGTGGGTGGGGAGAGGGATATAAAGGCAGTGTGCCTCCCCGCCACAAAGTTGGGAATTTTCTGACCATCAAGCTGGTCATCTGAGCAATCCTATGGCTGTCTACTTGCTGTATGGAGGCCACAGGATTGCTCTGCCTGGTTGCACTCCTGTTCTGACATACGTGGGAGCAATGACGTTTATGCCTGAGTAGACATATATAGGATCATACACTGAGTGCCCTTGTCCATCCTGTGCGATTACCTAAATTTCTGCTTTAGATTTACAGCAAAGGGGTCATATGTTGCATGGCACAGGTGATATAAAATTGAACGTTGTCTGTTTCCGATGTGTTTCCTAGAACAGATCTTAAACCCCTGCATGCTAGGATCTAATGAATGAATTCAAGGAAAAGGTCTAGCCACACACCAAGAGCAACCCTTCTGTTTGTTCATAAAACGGATAACCCACAAGAGATACAGAATGTTTAAAGCTAACAAATATAAAACCCACACAATTACACACTAGAAGGCAAGTTAAAATATTGATTTATCAATTAATATGACAAACAACTCAACAGCTAACTTGGTTTAAAAAGTTAAAACATTTTCATTGTAAAATATTAAAAGGTTTAAAAGTTTGGGAAGACTTTTAACAAAATTTAATTTACTGCTGAAAAGATAGCAAAGTAGGCACCCATCATGCTGCCTTTCTGAGGCCATTAGCAAGATGGGGCACCTTGCTGTGGATAAGGCCCAAGCGCTGAACAAGCCAAAAGGGAGAAAGCACCCTTGCCCAATGGATCATCTGTTCCTAAAACATGGATGTGCTAGAAGACAGAGAGATTTACAATAATTACTGCAGAAAACTCCACTCCTTCCCAAAGGTTATGTAGAGCACCTTGCCAGGCCACACTGTCCCCACAGAAAATGCAAGGGATGTTGCAGTGGGAGCCGTGTCCCCATGGAGGCAAACAATATACTTTTGCTTCTCCCTGGGCTCCTGCAGTTCCAGGGCATGGGTACCAGCGGGAATAAGGACATGGGGGTTACTCAGGAAGGGAAAGGCTGAACGCTACCGAGAAAGGGGTTGAGCTTCCACATGATGGCTTGCTCCTCAATGAGGGCCACATGTGATCCTGCATCTTTGGAGGACTGGGGAGCCAGAGGCTTCATTCCTGCCATAACTTTCCAATACAACAGAAGGGCTGTTTGCATGAGGGCATTCCGGATTACAGGCGATGCCTGCCAATATTAGAGTGCTGTCGGTTGGCTGGCATCCCGGCCCTGCATGCACACACTGTGTTCTTGCTTCAGCGCTTGTCCACCTTTGTCAACTGAGCCATGTCCCTAAGTCAGACTAAGCCCTGCCCATACAACCTCCAAGCTGGAGGCATGTCGAATTCACATGGATAGTTGCCATAAAGTAACAGAAAAGAGTGGTTTTGAGCTCTATGGATTATTGCATGAGACTAGACCAGAGAGAAAGGGAGAAAACAAAATGGAACGAGGCAAAACAACTCCGGTATCAATACGGAAAGTGCTGCACCCAGAACACACCTTTGCCATTTGGACAGCGTTGGGGAACTCATTCAGGCAGGAAATAGGAATCAAGTCATGCTTGGTACTTGTCCGAATCCTGACACAAGCAAACAACAAAAAACAGGACAAATGTTAAAAGGTAATGAAGCAATGCTTCCAGCTTCTAGGAGGCATCCTGAGTGGGAAGGGCCCACTATGGAAATGCTGCAGTACAGTAGCTAATTCTTGTAGCCCTTCTCTAATGTTGGCAGTTGAAAATTTCCCCAGAATCACTGAGGGAATTAATGGAAAAGGGAGGAAGCAAGGGACTCGCCAGAGGAGTAGTCTGGGATTGGGTACCTGCCTCCTGTCTTGATGTTTGTTACAACCTGTGGTTACAGAAATAAATCTAATGCTATGAAGTTAATGGAATTGCTAATGGTGTAAATCTAGTTTAGAATGAAAGCAGTTCATACATTTTAGTTTGTAATCTGCCACAATACTCTCTTTTTAGGTTAAAATGGTATATAAAATGTAATAAATGAAGCATCATAAGAACGTTTGCATGTGCATTTTCAGGAGAACCTTCTGAAAAGAGTTTCTGCAGTGCTTTTTGAATGAACATGTATGTGGTTGTACCAAGGGCAGTTTTACCTCAGCAGCAAACGGAGGTTATCTTGCTTTTCAATTTGTTCATACTTCACAGAAAGGACCAGGTAGCCCAGAGCAGTATCACTGGCATAAAAATTCTGATGCTCCTAAAAATAAGATATTAGAATAGCACTTCACCTCATGTTACCCAGAAATAGGCTATCTTCTCCCATTCCTACTGCTGTTGAACAGACAATTCTCAACCAATTAAAGAATTAAGTAACTGTTCATTTGACTTTTAAAATACACTTATTGATTTTTTTAAATATGTATTTATTGTTTTGAACAGGTACTTAAAAAATCCCTGCTAAGATGTTACTGAGAAATAAACTGTCATGTTAGCAAAACCATCTTTTTGAGAACATGCAACACAATCAACTGTTTGAGAAAGGCCATCTCATTTTTAATTCATTACTACAGTAAAACATCAATTCCAAAATAGTCTTCAAAATAACTGTACCCATAATGTTCAGCCTGACTGATCCAAAACTGGTTCTTACTAATTAACTGACAAGTACGGCAGCTGACATTTAAGATAACCATAGAATAACAGAACAGTAAAGTGGGAAGTGGCAGGAAGGCCATCAGGTCCAATCCTCAGTTCAGGGCAAGACTCCAGGCTGAAGCATCCCTGATATGTGGCTGTCTAGCCACATCTTGAACACCTCCGGTGTGGGAAAGCCCATTACTGCATCGCTCTAACAGCCAGGTGATTCTTCCTGATGTGCAGCTGGAACCTGGCTCTTACTTTATTATTTATAAGTTGTATTTATATCCTAACTACATATTAGCAAAACAAAAACTCTAGGTTGATGCTGCAAACCACGCACACAGCAAAGCAGAGAATATGATGGTGTTGGTATTAACCTATAATAGGTGCTGGTATTAACCTATAAAGCCCTAAATGGCTTGGGACCAGAATACCTGAAGGATGGCCTCCTTCCTATATGCCTTCATGCCCCTTAAGATCGGCAGGGGAGGCCTTGCTCTGGGAACCCTCTTTGAAGGAGGTACAGAGGGTGTCTATCTGAAGGAGAGTCTTCTCTGCAGTGGCACCCAAACTATGGAATGCGCTCCCCAGAGAGTTCTGCCTAGCACCGACTTCATACTCTTTCCAGCACCAGGCAAAGACTTTTATATTCAACCATCACTTTAATAATTAAGGTTTTTAGATGTTTTAAGATCTTTTTTCCACAGTCACATTTTCTACTCTTTATCTCCTTCTTTCCCTTGTTTTGTGAAGTGTTGTTTTATATTGATTTAATATCTATTGTTTTATCATTGTATTATTGTAATATTTTAGATCATTGAAAGCCGTCCTGAGCCTTTCGTCAGAAAGAACAGGATATAAATGTCTGTAAATTAAATTAAATTAAATTAAATTAAATTAAATTAAATTAAAATGGTGTGAAGTAGTGCTCAGGAATGGGACATCGCTTACTTTTCCTAGGAAGTGCTTGCGGTACACCTTGGCTGTTGGGTCACACTCCAACCTCACTTTGCCACTGCAAGGAGATGGCAGTTCATGTGACTCTGAACCTGAGATGGGCAGATTGTGAGAGGTCCCTTCAATCCAGTAACCCCCAAACTGAGGCAGGATAATGAGGGGATAGGGCCACCCTCTCTGTAACACCTGCAGAGGAAGAGACATGAACAGGCTTGAGAGGAGAGTCTGGCCAGCATCATTAGTCTGAATGGATTTCTGTAGCACTTGAATTCAAAACAAATCCAGTCTCTACTTTCATATGTGTACACACACTGAACCAGAAAAGAGACTTTTAAAATAATTTATTTGCTGATTTTTAAAAGCAGTTCAACATTTTGAAGTACTACAGTCATATTTTATTACTGGAAAGCGGGTTAGCAAAAGAAGCAACAGGCTTGAAAGTATTGCAAGACTGACTTCTGCTGAAAAAGAGATCACGCTTGCAAGAGAGATTTCGTATTACATTTGTTTTAGTTTTAAAACATGCATTTCAGTGTGTGTGCACATATATGTATGTTTATAGCAAGGCAAGCTATATAGATCATGATTAAAACAGTATAATTAAATACAATGGTAAAATATCATCTTCTCTATAACCCAAAACAGAAATAAAACACAAGAAAGAGGAAAAACTAATGCAGCCACATCAAATCCATTGAATAATAAAAGCCTGAAAAGAAAAGATTGCCTGGCAAAGGAAATTCACTGAATGGGATGCCTTGATACATAGCCTGTAGCCCCAATATCAAAGGACACCCCCAAAAAGGCCCTTCTACCCACTTGTCAACGCCACAGCCTCTGACAGCAAGGGGACCCAGGGAAGGGAACTCTGGAGTAGAGCAGGTTCATGGGGAACTGGTCCTTTAGAGAGACAGATGCCAAACCACATATGGCTTTAAACATTTGAAGCAACAGTTTTATCTGATGCATTGGTCCCTAGTCTGTTTCCTGAACTGATTCAGAGCACTGCTTTAATCTCTTAAGTTTTGAAAGGCTTGGGACCAGTCTGTAGGTACAAGGACTCCAAGACTGCTAACATGAAATGCTTTTCAGTAAGTCAATGCACAACTGTTCAAACCAATGCCTGATCCAGGGAATACCTGAGCCAGACTCCACATCTCAATGCAAGGAGTATAATCAGGGCTCACCTCGTGGATGCTGGGGTATGGAATGTACTCCTCTTCTCTCTGAAAGCACAATGAGGCCATTAGCAAGCATCCCGGGGCAAGGAACCAGGGAGGGATATGCATGCTGTACTGTTTGGGTTCCCACATGCATTTTGGCCAGCTGGCCGAGCCCCCTTGGAGAAATTTCTGTGCTCAAGGGAAGGATAATACATGTGTGCTCACCAGCTCTTCCACCCCAACCACCCTTTTCAAAGTGGGAGGGAGAAACGACATATCTCAGCTCCTGGGAATGTTTTACAAAACGTAGACCGCTTTCATTAAGATCGAGCAAGGATGACTGGTGTCCTTGACTACAATCCCTACTCCTTCACAACAGCTGCAGCCTGGCAGGCCACGTCTGTTTCATTCACGTCAAGAGCTCTGCTGCATCACTGCTACCGTTGCCCAGTGAGCAGGGAGCAGCAGGCAGAAAGGAGGTCTACAGACCTTGCCTGAGCACTGGGCAGGCTGGCAGGGCGTCTACCAAAGCGCCAAGCTCCTGTCCACCGCAGCTCTTTCAGCTTAAAAATATCTGCCAGTGCAGCATGGGGTTTGTTATCCCTTTCATTCATGCCCCCAACAGAGATATTTAATAGTGCTAGGCCCAGAGATGACCCTTTACAGAAGAAAACATTTTTTATGAATGGCCCCCAACCCAGAGACAAATCAGCTGTGGCTACAGCCAGAGCCAAAGGAGTCGAACAAACTTTCAGGGCTTTTCTACCTGAGGAGTTTATTCCAGCACTCTCCCACCATGTTGTCCCTCTGCATCATACCTGGGACTCTCTCTCTACACCTGTTTTTCCCCCTCTCCTGCATAAAACCATGAAGTGTTTGAAAACCTTTCAGGTGTGGGGGGAGATTCCCACGTGCCTCGCCAGCAGAGCTCGGCAGAACTTTACACCGGCAGGAAAACAGTCACTGTCCAAGGCTGTGATGCCCCTCCCGCTGTCCCCTCCCTCTGGAGGAACCCAGGGCCATGGCCGAATTGAGGATGGGGGCAATCACAGAACAGTAGGCCTGTGAAAACACAGCCACGCAGCCCTTCACTCCACTGCATAGGTACAAGAGTCCTGCTCAGGTTCTCCTCACTGTTGTGAGAGAAGCCCACAGCTGGGGCCTTCTCCCACCCATGTTCCCCAGCAACTGGTGCAGACAGGCACACTGCCTCTGATCCTGGAGGTGGCATAAAGCCACCAGGACCAGTAGCTTCTGATAGGGCGGTCCCCTTAAAAGCCGTCCAATGTGATGGCCAGAGTACATCTTGTGGAAGTGAATTCCAAGGCTTAACAATGTGCTATGTGAAGTAGTACTTTTTATCTGTTATGAAGGTATATTCCATTTCATGGGTGAGGGCCAGATTCTACTATCATGAGAGAGGTTTCTGAAAGAGGCTTTTCTCCCTATCCGCTTTCCCCACACTGAGCATAATTCTGCACACTTCTACCATGACTCCCCTTACTCACCCTTCCTCTGAGCTAAAATGTTCCAAACCCTGCTAATTTTGGCCACCCTTTTCTGGCCCTTTCCAGCTCTACATTAACTTTTTTGGTGGTGGGGTGACCACAACTGTACACAGTATTTAAAGTGTGGTCACGCTACAGCTTTGTATAAAAGCATCACTTTAAATTTGGAGAGCTGAACTGACCTTCAGTGGAGCTGGAAGTGAACATCTTTGCTCATCCAAACGGCTTCTCTGGACAGAGGAAAAGAAAGAAGTTGAAAGCCCCCAGCACAGCATCTCTCACCTCTCTCTTTCCCTTCACCTGGTGCCATGATCCACTCTACCATACCTCTTGGAGAATTATTACCTTTTTTTTGTAAGTTTTATTCTTAATATACCTAACAAAAAGAAACTAAGAAGCATCAATCATCGAAAACATCATACCTACTGGGTCAGCCCCCCAGATTTTTTCTTTTTATGTTAAACTATAAACATATTTAAGTCTATGCATAGTCCCGTTTCTCTAGCCAATAATAAAAAGAATCCCAGGTTTGACAGAAGTCTGTATCTTCTTTCTTGGAGAACTATTATCAATTTCATTTGGAGGGGACAACTTTCTCAATCAAGTTGAAAAGCCTGTTCCTGCTTTATCCTAGGTTAAATTCGAAGAAAAAATCAAAAGATGGCCAGTTGATCACTTTGTTCTGTCGCTGCTATGTGCTGTCAAGTGGTCTTCGACTTAGGGTGGCCCCATGAAGGAGTGTTTTCCAAAATGCCCTGCCCTTGACAGACCTGCTCAGCTCTCGTAACCTTGAGGCCGTGGCTTCCTTTACAGAGCTGATCCATCTCATATTTGGTCTTCCTTTTCTTCTTCTGCCTTCAACATTCCCCAGAAGACATGACTGTCTTCTCCAATGAGTCTTGCCTTCTCACGGTGTGCCTCAAATATTAGAGCTTCAGTTTCATCATTTCTGGTTCCAGGGAAAGTTCTTGTCCCCTTTTCTTTTCCACTCTACCTTTCTAGATGTTCTTATTAATTTCATTAAACAACACAAGGTGGTGCTGTGATATTGAGTGAAATTGCAAAAATGTGCAGGGTTTCTGAAGGGAACAACAGTTCTATCTAGAAAAAAGCCCAATTTTACTTGCTTTTTAAAAAACCACAAAACTGGCTGGAAAACTTGGGAGAACCTATGGAGGCTGATCATAGGTCCTCCGAGCTATAGTGAGCGAGGGATTGTGAATACACAATATGCCTTGTGTACAAACATAGTTGGTCTAGAGCTGTCACAGTGAAAAACAAAAAAGGCACAGCAGGTGCCAAAGGAGGGCATCTTTTTGCATGCACCCCTCATGTCAGAGCTGCTGTGTGCTCAGCCTCTGGCCACTGGGCAGGCGCCAGCTATGGACTCATAGCAGCAGCCTAGGATTGCTGGTCCCCAATCATATAGTCTACTGAGCACCTTTTTTTAGTTTTGGCCTCTGCAACTGCTTCTCAGCCAAGTGGCAATGGGAATTAAGCCTCCACCTAGGGAGAAAGAAGCCCTCCTACATAAGACAGCTGCTCTAGGAATCGTGTGGCTAAGCATGCACCATTGGTGGTCAGTTAATGTTAGCTGGTAGATCTTCTGTGGAAAGAAAGCATCCATTTGTAAAAAGCAGGAAACAAAGAGAGACAAAAATAAGTTTTCTGCATTTAGAAGCTGAACCTCGCTGGAATCCCAGATGAGCCAGTAGGAAACTGAGGCCTGGAATGCTAGGAAGGATGAGATGGGCTTCAAAAAACTGGAAGAGTGTGTGGGTTAGCAGAGAATACTAAATGAAATGTGTGGGGGGATGTCTTTGACAAGATTTCCCAAGGCCAGTTTTGGAATTTCAGAACAACAGCATAGCACTTTTAATGCAAAAATCAATGTTTGATGACAGAAGCAAAACATACCTGCATTTTTTCAATCATTTCAAACAAATCCACTGCCTGTGAGGAATAATATAAAAAATATATGGGTTTGTAAAGTCAAAGATTAGCTTATTGCCAGGATGCATCTTTAATGTGCCTTACATCTGTGATTCTATAAATATTGTATTTCATATCCTTCATCTTACATGCTCCCCAAACTTGCAATTGCAAGGCTTCTCATAAAAATGCAGATTTCATCACTGACATTATGAGTACTTCATTGTCACGGAAACAGTTCTGAGGGTAACACTTTTGCAGAAGACCTAATTATTCAGAAATCAGATGAGAAAATAGTACTTAGTTTATGCATTCTAGGATCGAGCTCTCTCTTTTAAATACAAGTGGGCTCATCAGCACTGCATTTCTTATTCGGGAACTCTTCCTCTGCTGAACAGAAGAACTTATGTGTCAGCTTGCAAAATTTTCCACTCTAAAGCACCATGTTGGATACTCGCACTAATCCAACCACTTATTGTATATGCACTGAAACTGGCTTCTACCTGTATCTCTTGATGAACAGAGAACTGCACAATTCAACAGGTGCTGCATGCAAGATTTGCCACTCCAGTTCAACACCCAGGGCTACATGGTGCATAGCTGGCATCCCATTAACGAGCTGTCCCCCTCCTCTGTTCTCCGAAAACCTCCCCAGCAAGCTTGAGAGGATCCTCTCAAACAACACACACAAATGCATCTGTAGTACATGCACAAATACAAGGAAGCAAAAGAGCTGGCAACGGGCACTGGCACACGCTCCAGCCTGAGCTCCTGCTGAGGGCCTTGCTCTTGCTGTGAGCTTGCGCAGAGAACTGTAGTGATTCACTTGCTGGCCACGAAACTCTCTGGGCAACCTTTGGCAGTCATTCCCTCTGCTTCATGCTCCCTGGAGGCAAGCCAGGATATATTGGATTGCAAATAAAGGAAGCCTATTTCCATTCCTGGAGACAAAAAGCAAGCAAGGACAGCTCCTTACCTTATTCTGAACAGCTGGATGATGGGCAGCCTCCGGGTCCTGGATGGGTGAGTCTAAGGTGTCCCCGATGCACAGCTCTGCCTCATTAGACCTCCTACATGAAAAGGAAGCCAAGCCAGTCAAGCCTCAGCGCACAACACAGCAGATGTGTCCCCTGTCCATCCCAGGTCCTTTGGTGCTCTGCCAGATGCGGACCCAAGCCTCAGAGTGGGCGTGTCTGCGGGTCACAGAAGCTCCAGGCCTTGCTTGCAGAGTCAGGCAAGAACAATCATGGTTCTTTTCCAAGAAACGATCATGATGAATAAGGGGGCGAGAAGCAATGTTCTGAACCACAAACCTTAGTGGCAGTGTATGCCAGACCTGCACTGAAAAAAATCCACACAAAGCAGTCCCCACAGGCACGCTTGCAGTGTTTCCCACACCAACAATCACCATGGACTCTCCAGAGTGAAAACTGCCTTGTGAATAGCACTCCGAAAGCTGTTAGCCAAAAGGTTTTCACCCTGTTTCCCAAGGGCATCCTGTCAGCCTGTGGAAACCATGGGAGGGCAAATCACACTGGTGGATTTCCAAAGCAGCTGATGGGCTTTCTGTGAAAGGGTATCGTTGGGGCTGACCCCCCCAAAAGGACTTCAAATGGCAAGGCCCACCTAGGTCCCAGCCTGGTGTTAAAATGGGACAGGATGGCCCAGTCTAGACCATGAGAGTTCTCCACTCTGTATATGTTTGCAACACCCCAACAGGTCCTACAATTTGCAGCTCCTTCCCTTGATACCGACCTTGTCCATTAGACTGAATATTAGTATTAATGAGGAACAGGCCTGTAAAGTATAAATGACACCCTCATCCCCAAAGTTGCATGTCAGCAACAAGGCATAAATTCATTGGTGTAATTACCTAAAGCTGTTGAGTACGCCTGCAAGGTCAGTGCCATTTACCAACACCATAAAAAGACTTGTCCAATTTTACAATAAGAGCTGTGCACACCTGGGACTTGTTTGCACCAAGAATGCCAAGATGCATGACCTGCCAGTCCCAGACACTGCCATTTGGGATTTGCTGACCAAGCTGCAGCTTAGATGTACCAAATGTACCTGCATTCATAGAATCACAGAATAGTAGAGTTGGAAGGGGCCATGGAGGCATTGGGTCCAACCTGCTGTTGCAGGACACTACGTTACACCATCCCACTCAGAGGGCTGCCCAGTCTCTTTTTGAATGTCTCTAGTGTGGGAGAGCCCACCACCTCTCAAGGCAGCTGGTTCTACTGTCGTATTGCTCTAACAGTAGGGAAGCTTTTTTCCCCCGATGTCCAGCCTGAATCTGGGTTCTTGCAACTTGAACTGATTATTCTGTGTCCTACACTCTGGCATCAGCAAGAAAAGATCTTGACCTTCCTCTTTGTGACAGCGTTTCAGGTACTTACAGGAGGAAATCATGTCCCCCCGCAGTCTTCTCTTCACCAGGCTGAACATGCCCAGTTCTCTCAGTCTCTCCTTATAGGGCAGTGTTTCCAAAACCATGTGTTTCCTGCATCTTTCTTAAATCTTGGTGCCCAGAACTGGACACTGTATTCCTGATGAGGTCTGACTAGTGAGGAGTATAGAGGAACTATTACTTCTCATGGTTTGGAAGTAATACTTCTGCAAATGCATTCATAGCAGTACCATGCACAGGAGACGTGGGTTTGCCTTCCCTGTTGTTTCGCACTGCTGCAAGAGGGCAAGACAGAGGCAGCACAGCAACACACCTCAAGGATTTCCAGTATGAACCTAATTGAGAAGATGTTTCCAGAATAAATGAGCATGTGGAACGGGGGGTGGGGGAGCTATGCTCTGTCATAGCTCATTTATATAGGTTAATCATTGTATGGCTTCAGCAAATCCAATTGTTTGTTGCTCGCTTTGCAATGTGGATTTAAAACATCTGGGAAATCAAGTAGAAACTAGATGGCTGCTAGAAAATGCCCAATTGCAAATCCCCGAGGCTAACTCTGAATCACGACCAACTTTCCCGCAGGCTGCCAGCTATGGATTTAAAGTGTCCTGGCATTCTGTGACCAAAATGAGCTGGGGCTAAGCATTGGTGCACGAGCCGATCAAAGGGCAGAATGGGTTGACCCCACCTCCGACACTTTAATCGACCTTGGAAGTTTCCTGGATCCCCCAGCGCTGGGCCTCCCGTCAGATCACAGGGCAACAGACCAGGGCTGCCCTCCCTTCTGGGCTGGTGGGTAACTTGGGAGCTTTGAACGAGCACCTACTTTCCAAATTGGCTGCCGTTGGGGGGCCAGCCCATGTGTCAAATGGCTAAGCAAGGTCAGTCATCAGAAACCCCTGTCCCAGAAGGCAAACTACAGAATCTCGAGCAAAACTAACTGGCCAAAGGAATTAAGTAAAAGGAGGAAATGGCAGCTGAGCTTCGAGACACCCGATCACTCTTCTGGACCCATGTGAAGCTGGGGTTGTACATTCCTTTGCAGCATACCAGCCTTCCAATAATAATTACATTCTTAAAAACACTCAATAGGTTACTGTTTTAATTTTTTTTCTGAAATAAAATAAAAGGGGCGATATGCATGGGGCCCACAAATATAATGTTGGAGAACAATGGCTAATTTTCAACCTTGTCTAACACTGCATAATCCAAAGGAACATCTGTGCACTTTGCCCAATATGCTTCCTATACACTATTTACCTCGAACCCCAGATTTATTTATTTATATATATCCTATACACTATTTACCTCGAACCCCAAATTTGTTTGTTTTTTTATTTATATATATATAAAAAGATTTGTATGCTGCCTATTGAGCCATAGCATCCCTAGGTGGCTCACAATTTAGCAGTGGTGGTCCAAGGCTGAGTGTCTGAGCATCACCTAACAATGAACCTAGCACTGGAGGGGCACTTGGAATCATGCCAGTAACACGTAGTGTTCAGCATCTCAGTCAGTACAATTCCCTACATGCAATGGTGAGATTCCTGCCCCTTAAAGTGGTATAAAACGGATAGTAAGTCTGTAGCATGGATAGGGCTTGCCTAAGGTGAGCTGGGCATAAACCTCTCAATTCTGCTCTCAGTGTTCATAAGCCTCCAAATGATGCTGGAGCATCCAGGGCAGAGCAGTGCAGGCACTCTTTGCCTCCTTGCACCTCCCTCTTTGCAATTCGGCTAGACCAGGGGTCAGCAACCCGCAGCTCTGGAGCCGCATGTGGCTCTTTCATCCCTCCTCTGTGGCTCCCTGTCGCTCAAAATATGCATCACAACCACAAATGTGCGACACCCGCCTGCACGCGTCTTATTGAGATTTCAACCCCCGGGTAGGCCAACCATGGATAAATCCAAGAAAAGAAAAGTTTCAGAAGAAAACAGAACGTTTAATGGTACGTGGGCAGATTCATTTGCTTTCACTGATGATGAGACTGGTTTACCAGTATGCTTAACATGTGGTGAGAAATTGGCAAACAACAAAAAAGTCGAACGTTGCAAGACATTTCCAGAACAAACACACAGCCTTTGTAGAAAAATATCCAGATGGAGATGAAAGAAAAAAAGCCATTTCGGAACTGATGAGGAAGGTTGATCTGAGCAAAAATCATAATTTAAGTTCGGCTTTTTATTTCATAAATACAAGGAGGACTCAAATAGACATTGAGTATTTTATTTGAAAGTAACCTTCAACCCAGCATCTTTTTTTTCAGAGTTGAAAATGTTTTTGTTGCATGCAGAAATAAAAAATTGTTTTCTCTGTAGCAGTTCACTGATTTCATAAATGCAACACACTATAGTTTTTTTATACATAGCATAAAGGTAAAAAATGATATATGCAGTATTATCTTCATTTTAGATGTCAAAAGGGTTTTGTGGCTCCCGGTGTTTTCTTTTCTGTGGGAAAAGGGTCTAAATGGCTCTTTGAGTGTTTAACGTTGCCGACCCCTGGGTAGACCATCAGCTTTGGCTGTGGAGCAGAGGCATTTCAAGGGCTTAGGAAGGAGGCTAAAGTGCTGCCAGGATATCTTGAATGCCAGTGA